TATGCGGGGTGAGCGTCTGTCCGCTCGGTGGGTGTTCGTACCCTAGTGGTGTCGTGTCGTCAGGGGTTGGCAATCTCTCTAGCAGAGTTGCCGGCAGGCAATGTGAGTATTGAATCGTATACGTTGGTAGGTGGTGGTCGGTCCGAGTAGTGATTGTGACAGTCATGTCTATCGTTCCTCACCTCGTATGAAGGTGTGGACGTGTATGGTCAGTGCGTCCGTGCCGCCAGGGTCTGGTGATGTGTTTCTAGCGTCTGCTTAGCGTTCGCTAGCTCCCTTGTCTGTGTCGCGTCCGGTGCGTCAGTGGGTGCCTTTCGTGGTGTGGTCGTGATCGGGTCCAGAGGAGGGATGATGTTACCACAAGAGAAAATGAGACATTTAGAAAAAATATACATAACATGCAGAACAGTGACAAACATTGCTGCGACAGTATGAGTGTACCATAATATGAATTGTCTTTGTGCTCTGGAAGATAGAGTGCCTCCAGTGATCTGTTGGGGCAGGGGGAAAGGTGCCCGGGGGCGTCCAGTACAGGGTGCCCCGTGTTCGTGCGGTGAGTGGCTTAGTTACGTGGTCCCCCCCCCAGGGGTCAATCCCCCTACATTATTTTGGCTCGATGCTTGTCTGGAGATAGGCTTGCCGGCAGTCCAGAATCAGTGGTCTGCGTTAAATGTATGGGTTCGTGTGCAGTAGTATATCTGTGTCTGCATATTTTTTTTTTTTCCTTTGTTCTTTTTGTCCCATTTTAGTGTTTTTTTCCTTTTTTTTTTTTTTTTTTTTTTTTTTTTTGTTTTGTTTTTGTTTGTTTCCCCCCCTATAGTCCCCTCCCCTATAGGTGTCAGGTGCCGGGGTCAGCTGGGCGTGTTTCCCACTCCCTGCCTAGTGTCCCCTTCCCTCTTTAATGTCCAGAAACGGGGTTGGCAGCCTGTGTCCCCTGTGGGGGCAGTGGTTTGTGTTTGGCTCCTTTGGGGAGTGTAAGATTAGCGGGGTCCCATGGGTTCTGTGGTCAGCTGAAGTGGGTTCATCTGGGGGTCTAGTAGTGGGCTCGCTAGCGGCTGGGCCCGGGGGTCCTGGTGGTGCGTGTGTGGTGTGGTTTTTTTTTCCCCTCCCCCCCCCGTGTTTTCTTTGTGTTGTCCCTCCCTCCCCCACCCCCCTGTTTTGTACCCCCCTACGTGATTTCCCATGCCGTATTTGGCTGTAAATGTAGGGTTAAAGCTTAGAGTTAAAGCATGCAACATAGGGTTGCCACATAATTAGTCCTGTTTAGGGTAAAGTCATAGCTTATCTGGTTCCGGGCGACCTGTGGTCAGACAGTTCGTGGTCTCCTGGCGTGCGATGCCGTGGGTCCGGTGGTCTGTGAGGTGTGTTTTCGGTTGTCCTGGCGGCGTGGAATCGGTGAGGGTCGTGTGGCAGGTGACGGTCCATGTCGTAGAGGTGCGGTCATCTGTACGTCCTTAGGTGGCCGGTTGAGGGTGAGGACTGCTGGGAGGTGGAGCCCTTGTCGGGTGCAGTGTCGGGCCCCTTGGAGAAAGTATTCCTGCTGGGCGTCTGTCAGGCTGTTCGGTGGTGAGGTCGATGGCCGGAAGGCCCAGGCGTTCCGCGAATGCTGTGGCTTCGGAGATATGGTACAGAGTGTGTACCCGGTTGTTTTGTCTCACTTGCAGCTTGAAGGGGTGGCCCCATGTGTATCTTATGTGTCTCCTGGCCAGCTCCAAGGTTAGGGGTCTGAGTTCCCTTCTCTTGCGTAGCGTGCTTGGAGCTAAGTCTTGATAAAAGCAGACTTGATGCCCCTCTATTTGGAGTGGGTTATCTCTCGCCGCTCTCATCAGCGCTTCTTTTATATGGAAATAGTGCATGCGGATGATGATGTCCCTGGGCTGGGTTGCGTTCGGGAGGGGTGCTTTAAGGGCCCTGTGGGCTCTGTCTAGTAGGAGCTCGGCCGGTGAGGCCTCTGGGAGTAGGCTGCAGAAAAGCTCTCTCAAAGTGGGGGCCAGCATGTCTATTCCAACCGTCTCTGGCACCCCGCGAATTCGTATATTGTTGCGGCGGGAACGGTTGTTGAGGTCCTCTTGGGCCTCCTCCAGCAGGCGTACCTGGTCTTGTAGTGCTGAGATGGCGGTTTCGTTTGTCTGTGCCTGCATGGAGGTGCGGTCCAGCTGGTCTTCAATGGCAGTAGTTCTGCGTGTGAGGTCATTTAGGCTTTCAGTGATGGGAGTCAGGTGTCTGGAAAACTCTGCAGCCATGTTGGTTTTGATCTCCTGTAGCAGGTGCCTGAGGTCAGCTTTTGTAAGTGGTGCTGCAGCTGCCGTGCGGCTGGTGTCGCTTGCCGCCGAATCTGAGTCCTCCTCGCGGCCATCTTCCCCACGTGAGCTCTCCTCCCTGCGGGCGCGAAAGATTGGCGCTACCTCCGCGCCATGCTTAGTCTTGCGCCCCCCTCCCATGTCGGGTCGGTGGAGTGCCGTGGCCGGGATGCTGGGGACCGGGTGTGCTGCCCGTTCGTCGGGTATACGTGCCGGTAAATGCTAATGTTGTGCCTGCCGGTACGGACCTCTAGCAGAGAGCAGCCATCCGCACCGGAAGTCAGGCGCCGCCCCCCCCAAATGTACAGTTTTAAGAATCGGGAGCTACTGATTGACTTTGAGAGTCAGCTGACCGCTCTGGGCTACTCAGCGGCACCCTTGCCTAATGCTGCCTGAGCCTTCCTTTCTCTAGGATTTCAGGGAGTGGAAGGACAGGAGGGGCAGAGTGATTCTGAGCATATATTTTGTGGTTAAAGGATAACTATAGTGCCCTTAGGTCCCCCCACCCTCAGGGCCCCTCTCCCGCTGAGCTGAACAGGTTGAAACCCCTTCAATCACTTACTTTTATCCAGTGCCTGGCTCCTTCGGCACTGGTGACCTCTCCTCCCCCTCTGACGTCAGCTCCCGAGTGGAGCCGCATGCGCAGCCACAGCCGCGCGCGTATTAAAAACGCCCATAGGAAAGCATTTCTCAATATTTTCCTATGGACGTTCTGCGTGCTCAATGCGATTTCCAAGAAGGCAGCCACTAGATTCTCTGAAACTGCTATGTTTACATCTGAAGGGTTAAAACCTGGGGGACCTGGCACCCAGACCACTTCATTAAACTGAAGTGGTCTGGGTGACTATAGTGGTCCTTTAAACCATTTGTGAGCCAGTGCCAGGGACCTCCTGGCACCATAACATTATTGTTAAAGTGAAGTTGCTATGGCAAAATATCCAGCCTAACACCTTTAAGGATGGGAATTAGTCATTTAACAAACATTTCTTAAATTATCTATTTTTGGGATGAAATATATTCTTGATATTAGAGGGATTGTTCATTAAATCTAAAGGAGAATTGACGAATTGAGAAAAGATTGCAAAATTCAGGCCAAAATAGTTAATGTAAAATAAAGTGTATTATTCAGTTATTTTCCAGATAGACAATTTTTTGTCTTTATATTTTCTTTTTCAATGCCCTTTTTTTTACTTTCTGCTCAAATCCTGGTAAATTATCATGAATTACTTGACACTTTATTTTATTTCTGTACATAGTTTACTTCTTTCATATACAAATATTTATAATATTTAAGTGTATTTTATTCGATTGCTTGTTTAGTTTTGACAATAGAGCCTTCATTATTCTTTTGTATTGTGACAGAAAGACATGTTTGAATACAAAGCAAAAATTGGTTGCTAAGTATTTGCTATACTACGGAGGAACATTATTTTGCCCTCTACATAATTAAAGGACCACTAAACTGAACAGCTCGTTCAGCTGATGGACAGCTTACGTTCTCAGCCAATGAATTAGCCCTGCAGGGCTAACAGTAGCTCCTTCTTAGGAGCTTCCGGCTCTCTACGGTTACTAGTTGGAGTTGGGAGCAGAGCCTGTCAGACCCAAGGTAAGTTGTCAAAATGGCACTCACACACACACAAACAAAATACTTACTGCAATGAGCTGTAGTGTTTATGGTGTTTGGAGTGTTCCTTATAATTAAAGAGAAATTGACATTAAAATTAAGATTGTATTGATTTATGCAAAGAATTTACTATTATTTGTCTTTTTTTAATATATACATTACAAATCTGTGTGTTTTTTCATGGTTGCTTTTGCATATCATACCAAATTTACAATTCAAGAAATTTTAAAAGCAGCAATGGGTGACTATGATTGGCTGAGCATGTCAGCAGACTGCTTTCAGCCAATCACTGTGCCCATTGCTGGTATGAATTGGTATTGCTAGACTCAAATTAGTTATATTTGCCTTAGCCATACCTCCAGTGGCGGCCAGGATTCCTGATATAGTGTTAAACTGCTTGAAAATGTTATATCCTGAATGTAGAAACAGTGGCAGTGAACTCAAGGTACTAGAACCAATTTAATGAGGTGAAATTATAGTACCTACAGTGTCCCTTTAAACACTATCTAAACATACAGTAATCTGACTGTTCCATGTGTGAGAGGGGTATCCACTGTACTGGTGAAGGCAATGCCACTATTATAGACAATATATTGTATGCAGTTGCAGCGAAGGTGAATATGATGAGTCTGTTCCAACCACTAGGGACCCACAAAAATTGCATTTGGATCCCAACACAAGGGTTAAAAGGATACTCCACTAGCCAAGCTGGGATGTAAGAGACGTAAGAGACACATACAGGAGCCTGGGGAAGGTGTAACAGACACATACAGGAGCCTGGGGAAGGTGTAAGAGACACATACAGGAGCCTGGGGAAGGTGTAAGAGACACATACAGAAGCCTGGGGAAGGTGTAACAGACACATACAGGAGCCTGGGGAAGGTGTAAGAGACACATACAGGAGCCTGGGGAAGGTGTAAGAGACACATACAGGAGCCTGGGGAAGGTGTAAGAGACACATACAGGAGCCTGGGGAAGGTGTAAGAGAGACATACAGGAGTCTAATGGTAGAATTAAGGCTAAACTAGTCAACTAGATGAGTTGGGGAATTATTCCCGATCAGCTATGTTGGCCTGGTTTAATCACCCTCCACGTGACCAGTCTCCCAGTCTGCCCACACCAGCAATGAAAATAATACACACTCTGCGACACGCCCTCAGCTAGGAGCAGCCAATCAGCAGCCGTACGTCCTGACGTCACTTTTCCCGGAGCACGCTGGGAAGGCGGTACGTGGAAATCCCGTCCCTCAGTCAGCGTGATCACTAACCAACGCGCTGACGTCATATGCGGTGCAGCCGGTGAGAGCACGTACCGTGCGCCGGGGTGACGGAGCGGTGTCTGTGGGGAGGAGCCGCCGCATGGAGTATTAACCGGTGGGGAAGGTGAGGAGGAGGAGGAGGGGCTGGGTCGAGCATCTTATCACCATGTGTGCTCAGTGAGGGACACGTACAGCCCACTGCCACCGCATGGTCCTTGCCATGGTTACCTCATGGTCTAGGTTAGACCAGGTATACCTGCTGGCACCACATGGCACAGACCAGGTATACCTGCTGGCACCACATGGCACAGACCAGGTATACCTGCTGGCACCACATGGCACAGACCAGGTATACTGCTGGCACCACATGGCACAGACCAGGTATACTGCTGGCACCACATGGCACAGACCAGGTATACCTGCTGGCACCACGTTGCACTGTCCAGGTATAGATGCTGGCACCACATGTAACTGGACAGAGATACCTGCTGGCACCACATGTAACTGGGCAGAGATACTGGCTGGCACCACATGGCACTGGCCAGCTATAGATGCTGTCACCTCATGTAACTGGGCAGAGATACTTGCTGGCACCACATGTAACTGGGCAGAGATACTTGCTGGCTCAGCTAGTCAGTCCCTGCCTGTTACTATTCATACACTCTCACTCAGAGCTACGTGTCATTCTGTACCGAGTCATCTTATCTCAAACACACTATCCAGCAGGCTACCAGGTTAGGCTTACAAAAAGTAGTAGTGCAAATATACCCAAACTGTTGTAAGGCTAAGGCAACGAAGGCCTCATGGGAGTTGTAGTTCTACAGCAGAAACCAACTAGTGGCCACTTTAGGCTTTGGCATAGCTTAGGTGGGATATTAGTAATATAAATACACGTGTCAGATTTGGACTATTGCTTCTTAGAGCAAGTTGTTTACATGCTGGTGATACAAGTAGATTACCAGTGTACAGTGTGCCTCAAAACTGCAGTGTCAGATCAGGCATTTATGACTATGGTTTAGTTCTTATATGAGTACAGCAGCACATATTTGAAAACTGACAAAAGCTTAATGTATCCTTCCTAATAAATTTTATGTTGAAGTAATAGTCCGGCAATTCTTCAATGGTTTTATAACACACCTTGCTATCTTGATCAAATACATCTTGATAAGGTGTAAAGGGCTTTTCTTAAATTTGATCTTTCAGCTCTTTAGTAGATTGCTTCCTAATTTAGTAGTATTGTGAGGGATTGTCCTATCAAAGGATAGCGAATAAGGGAGCTATCTACTAAACAGCTCCCTGATTTGTTATCCTTAAATATGACAATATCCTGAGTTAAATTTTTCCCAAAGTATTACTGGTAATGTAACATCTATTTCCCAATCGTGTGTGTGAAGTTTAGTTTGAGTTTTAGCTTCCATGTTTTTAATATCAAGATGTCCATGACTCTGCCCTACCACTCGATTTAACCATTCCATATTTATGCCACTCAGACTTTTTTTTTTTTTTTTTCATATTTAGACTTCCTCATCAGACTTACAGACACCATTTATTATTTTACGTGCAGTTCTATTGATGTATACTTGCTATGGTTCACACACCTTTAGAAAAAATATCGTATAATAAATATTAGCTGTACATTCTGCTATTTGAATTATGAGCAAATGTAGCTTTTCAGATAAATCTATTTTTAAAAATGTGGTTCCTCCTTTCACATGTTAATCATTAGCATTTTATGCTGCTGGCATAGAGGTCTAGTCCAAGAGCTGAAAAGTACCTACAGTTTGTTCTGTTCGTCTCCTTTACAAGTATTCAACGGGCAAGGGCAATAGCTTCATTTTATCAATGTTGTATTGGAATCTAAAACTGAAGCAAATGCAAGATTTTCTTTTTTTTCATTTTGTTTCCAAATCTGAATAATGTTCAACATATGAAACAAACATTGTAAGACCATAGTCACAGCAGCCAGCCTTGTCTGTTCATCCACCCCTCTCTAAATGATTGTAAAAGTTGCACAAAATTGATATGGCAGAAAATAAGAACTTTGCTTTAACCACATAGTAGTTATGGTGCTTAATGTACTCTGTTTTTGTTTTATTAATCTATTATATAGGTAATGAATGAATCATAATTATATTTTGTTATACTCTTCCCCCCCCTTTTTTTTTGCCTGACTAATGCATTGATATAAAGCTTGGTGAAGCTCTCCTCGCTGATCTGTACGGCCGTTGTGTAATCACTGCTTTCTTCTTCTATGTGGAAGATACCTGCATTTGTTCCTGTGACAGAATCTCCTGTGCCACGGCCTTCCGGAGAGGCATGAAGGCCTGTTCACAAGAGCACCTAAAAGGGGCAATAGTCACTGTGGGGTCCCCAAATGATGTACGTCCCATCTGGACTTGAGGACCTCTGAGGACTGCCTGCACTCATTTTACATTTTTAGCGCCTGACTAGGAGACCTTGGAACTGTGCCATGGGATGGTCAGTCTTTAAGCAGATATCGCTCTGTTTCCTGTCTTCCACATAGAGCACTATTCGGAGGATGCTTGAAAGCGCTCCCCTCCATAGAGGTCCGGGAAACCCTTTATGAAAACCGGGGCTAAGCCATCGAATGGGAGAACAGCCGTGACCTGGCTAAATTTTAACATGCTGAATCTCAGGCGTGGCTACTCTGATCAGGGTGCTTTTTGGACAGCAAAGTCGCTTGGTGACGAGCTTTCCAGGGTTAAATATATTGTGGGGTACGGTCCATAGAAAGGGGGTTCTGGCTGACATTTTTATGCTGTTCCATTAGGACAGTGAGGGCACAGCAGGGAGCTGATTGATTTAGCTGGAGATAATGTGATTAAAACCCCAGACAGGGTGGTGCCTGGGAGGGACAATTGTGCACTACATTCTTTTGTAGAAAGAGTCAACAGTGTTAAATGTAAATAGCTGTATGCATGTGATAAAGACTTATTCTACCCCTTACATTTAGACTTGTCTAATGTGTGAGGTAAAGGCTGTTATAAAGCTATACTGCTCTACAGAAAGGAGGGTCTCCAGGACTTTTTATTCACTGCAACCTGGTCCGGTGGAAGAGTTCCTTCATGACTGGGTCTGATTGCAGCTAGGAAGCTGATCTGGTGGAGGTACTAAGTTGGAGTACGGAAGCTCCGTCACTGTTGCGGATCCCCCATCTTTGCAACTTTATGCAGTGAGCTCTTCCAATCATTGCCCTCTCTTAACTTAAACGGAAGTGCTTATGGAAAACATGTTTTTTGGGGGGGAGTTGATAGTCGATGCTAATGTATTGGAAGAAAGAGGCAGCAAAAATGTGCAAATGGAATAAAACGAATTTTATCAAAGTTTAATTGTACAAAAAAACAACAACTGCAGAGCATAAATAGCTGTAAAGTAACCTACATATTGCACCTACCGTGTGGGTGGTTGAAGCATCCCTGTAATAATTATTGATGTTACTCAGATCTCAAATTTAATTATGACTATTATAGCGTTACAATTGGTTTATTAATGCATTTCATCCATCATTTTACCAGAAATATTGTTGATCAATCTGGCACTGAAAAGGTTAGCTTTGAAAACCACTTGGTGATCATATATAAACTTTCTGCGCTTGTATCATTGTACAGAATGTGTCCAGTTCTGCTGAGACAAGCAACACTATTGTTGTAAATGCAATGCTTCTCCTAACTTTGCTTTTTCATTCTTTGACAGATGTTGGTTGACTCTGCTGTACCAGAAAGGGGCAAACCTCTTGACATTAATAGGGTGCTTGGAGTATAGCAGCAGACATGGATGAACAAGCCCTGCTTGGACTTAACCCAAATGCCAATGCTGACTTCAGAGAACGAGTATGTTGGTCTTTCTTCACTGTACAGGAGCTTGTCTGTCTGTCATGTTTTATTTATCTAAATAGTCACATATACAATCAATTGTAATTGAAAAAAGTATTCTCTGTAAAATATATATTAATTTTATTTCCCCATTGTGTTACTGCTTTTGCATAAAAATCTTACGATTCTCATGTTCTGGCTTAGTTAAAATTGGTTATATTTTTTTTTTCCGATTATATTATACTGTATTCTATTTTTAAACTTTGGTTTACTGAAAGCATGATAACTACAGACTGCTGTCATGGTTTAATGCCAGGAGTAACCTGACCCAGTGGGGCAAACTGTTTAGCAACGGTTTGTTCCCTTATCTAGGTCCTGGCAGGACTCCGGAGCTCCCTTTCTGGCTTTTGTAGAGCTGCTGAAGTCAAAAGCTGGTGGCTGTCGCCATGCATTGACTGAGAACATCAACTGACCACTCTCAGTCAATGACTTACATTCTGGGCTCTGAGACGCATAGTGACCCTAATGATGTGCTTTTGGTTTCCACAGCTGCAGAAACTCGAAGCCAATCCAGTCGCCATTCATTGGCTGAGATCATCAGCTGGCTGCTCTCAATATGCCACAGAATTCACTCTTTCTGTGCTGGCTGGTGACACTCCAATGATGCTGCCATAGGTGGCACTCCACCTCTGGCAGCAGGCACCATAGCTACTTCGAATAATTCAAGTGGTGATTGTGCTTGGTGTAAACCTCTAACTACGCCTGCTAACTTGACATTCCTATCAATTTCATTATCTTTTTTATAACCTTCATACTTTTAACTCACTGCATTTGATGTTGCTTTGCCTGTTAGCTGCTCTAATCAACTGTATTTACAATTCATTTTTTGTTCTTTCATCCTTATTCCAGGCTTTGGCCTATTTTGAGCAATTAAAGGTGTCCCATGATGCCTGGCAGGTCTGTGCTGAAGCAATATCCCGGCGGATATACAGGTAGGTACTCTCATTACAATAATACTTTGTTTTGCAGAAGTGACAAGTTAAACTGATTACATATATGGTGTTGTTGCTCTCTATATAAGGTGACATTTTAAATCCGCCTATCACTGGCGGCCAGTCCAAGGCTTCCACATTGAAGCCAATGCTGGAGGACATTCAGATAGTCTTTATGGCGCCATGAGAGTTCCTTTTAAGCAACTGTGCTCTAGAGGATACCATGACTTTTGGTGTTCAGTTCTCGTTCATGTAGATGTGAAAATAGAAAGGCTGCATAGAAACTGAATATATAGAAAACCCAAGACTTTTTTTTTTTTTTTTTTCTGGAGCAGTCAAAATATGGAATGGTAGTCTAGGTTGTCTGGAAGTCCAAATAAAGGAAATTGATGTTTTTAGTTTATCAGATGAATGTTTTGGAACATAAATAGGCAGTTACTTGATGGCTCTGGTAGTTGTGGAAGAGCTTTCATTTTAAGGATAATCATTTTCCCAGTATAGAGAATTGATTGAGATGATATTAACGATTTAAGTTCACCAAAGTCGATTAAACTGTTTAGAAAAATTTAGCCAATAACGGTCCTTGGCTGGTGGTATAATGTACAACTATTTGGTGCCTTTTTCTGTCCAATAAAATGTAGAAAGAGCATTCAGAGTAGAAGGATTAGTGGAGCAATAGCTGGGATGGTATAATGTGTATTTCTTATTTATTTTTGTATACCTTTTTTAAATCTGATCATGAGTATACATGATGGTTACTTTGTTTGTTTAAAAGCCCTTGTAAGATGCTTCCCACATTTATTGACTTGTGAGTAGAACATACATTGTGTTAAAATGAGTGCATTGCTTCAAAATTAAATGAACACTCTGTTGGTATTTTTGTGCGTGTTTAGATTATTTGGCTCAACTTTTAAAAGGAAGTTAAATTCAACTTTAATTCAATGCTTTTCCCGGTCTCAACACTACAGCTGCAATGCCTGCTGTGAGTCTCTCCAGTTCATTAGCTACATTTACTGTGCCCACTAATCAGATACTTCTCGTAGAGTCCAGAATCCAGTACTTGTATTGCTTCCACCAGTTTTAGAGCTGGTATTGAGCATATTTCTTACCGATAACTTACTCATCTCTCCCAGTCACTGCACGTCATCTTCCGCTACTGGAAACTCCAGACCTCAGCCGAATTGCAACCTTACATCACCCTTCTCTGTGGGTCTCCTCATACAGAGCTCAGCTGAAGGCAGGGAGGTGTAACAGTGAATAATGTACTGGGCTGGCTGTCTCAGTTATTGTAGTGTGGTGACCGCAATCACAGTGATCACATCATGTGCTTGCTGAGTGTAATAGAAGTGTGTCCAGATTTGTGTAGAAATTGTTTTGCTTTTTAAACAACTTTAAATGCACAGAATATTGGCACCTGTAAACGGTAATTGGCCCGAAAGGTGTTCTATTATCTGTATTGGCTCTGGAAAAATTATGTTGGTCGGTGCCTAGCTTTTATGTGAGGAGCTTTCTCAGCATTTGTCAAAGTTTTAAATAATAAAAAAATTTCACAAGGAGGTGCATCTAGTGCCTGTCTGACAGCCTTTGTAACACATGTAATTATTGCTGTTTTTCACATGCATTTATTAAAGTACAGGAATGCTGCATTAAGATGTAGTGATTTTGATGCTTGGAGTATTTGCTTCAGAGCTATTCTCTGTGCTGTAAGTTGTTGATCTAAGTTTTAGGAAAGTGCTCCAAAGTCTTTAAGTCCCAATAATTGTTAATAGATGCATCGCCCCCTTCTTGCTTTGTGAGCCTAATTGCACGAAAGTATCTCACAATAACTTTTGTGCTTTCATGTACATTTATTCTTTGACAAGATTAGTATTCTCGTAGATATGAGTTGAGGACTTCTTGTATCTTAGTAACCGCCTGCAGACTGTTCAGAAGGGATTTACTGCCACTGGGGCAATAGACAGATGTACCTGTGAGTTCTAAAATAAGGACCATAGGGGCATGGGCTGACCATGTAATGTTCCCAGTGGAAGAGCCTTTTAGTAGATGAAAATACCTGTGAGGCAGTAAAAGCATATCACTTGTAGAATATGACATGGTTATGTGGGTATAAAATGTGTAAAATCTAACTGTAGGGTTGATAATTTGCAAAATGTCCAAGAGTTTTAAACCCCAGACATAGAGATTGGATTTTTCTAGAGGTCATTGTGTTAAAATTGATTTTTGATTGTTAGGAGGCCTGATGTGCATTCTCTGCTACTCTAGAGGTAGGTGATAAAATGTAGATCAAAGTAAAAAGAACAGGAGGAAGAGGTAAACCATACAAATGCAGAGTAGATTGCGTAAATCCCAATACAAATAAACAGATGCCTTAGGATATAAGGAAAGTAAGCTTTGACATGGTGTATATACTGTAAAAATGCCAAGTTAAAAACATTACAGTCTTTGGAGTAATGAATACAGGAGCGAGCCATTTCCCACAAGTGAAACGTGTAGAAGGATGTTTAGGTATGTATAGTTGGATTCATAGAGCAACAAAAGCAAAGCCAAGCATTCAAGGAAGGTAAATGACGAAAGGAAAGGCTAAAAATTATATTTCTTGTAGCAAAAACACAAAATAAAAAGCTCACACACCAGGACACTGACAACAAAACAACCGTTCTGTTTTCTTGGGCAGTGCCATTCTCCTATTCCTAAGCTTAGGCCAATCTTCCCTAAAAGGACTCAAATAGATATTTGATATACATAGATCTCTACAGAAATTGACAAGATAAAGGGGGGTGGGGGGAGATAAAGTGGGAGGGGTGCTACGGTTGGGGTATACTTCTGTATAGGAAGGTAACATACAGGTAAAAAGAGTAAGCCAAGTTGGGCTTTTTTGTTGCATTCTTGTTTTCATTATGGGGCAGCACTTAACACTTATTTTTCTTCTGTCTTCAGGGCTTTGACCATTTTACTTTTGGGTATTTTACTTTCTAATATGTGCCAAAGTTGATTTAGGAATTTTAACCTTTTGGCAATGTAAGTTCACTTAGGTTGTTCTGAGGTTCTGTTAGCTGTACCATTCACTTTGCCCAACTTTTACCTGTATCTTGTTGGTAGCCGTATTGTTATGGTACATAGTCACTATTTCCTGGTTTTCCTGTTTGGCAGACTACGTAGTGAAATAGCCTCCATATGGTAAGTTGTTTACATGTATGTTGGCTATCTATACAGGTAATCATCATAAAATCTTGTTATGGGCAAATGCAAATATTACAAGCTTTAGAATGAAATGTTGTATTTCTTAAACTGTGTACTTTGTCTTCAAGCGATATTGCAAACTGACAAGGTGTTAGAAATGGAACATATTATTTTTCATAGATGTTTCTTTAAGCAATAACCTCAGTCCATATTATGTTTGCGCCATTTCGTCCCAGACGAATTACAATAACAATAATGCATAAACATGCTTCAAGGATATGCTATGCTTTAAGACGTTATAGTGGTAAATAAGGGAACCAGCCACGGTTACAATTAAAAGCCATGTCTTTCTCTTTATGGCTGTATGTAATAATGTTGTTCATAATTTGGAATATAAAACAACGACTTCTCAATTCCTTGCTATGTTTACATGTCTCTGTATCTCCGCAACCTTGGCTGGAAACTCCAAAAATAGTTATGCTGTTATAATTCCTGGTTTTCAATCAACATCTAGCGTAACTGACTATATGGAAATTATCACTGTTTTATAAAACTTTTCATATATAGTGGACATTAGAATCCAGAACGCAGTAATGCAATAATTTTAAAATCCTGTCTGTCTCATGAATGTTTTCATTAAGCCATAATGCAATTTTCTTTGCATTCTTGGAATTAGACTTCAAATTCTATTAATAATATAAAAGCAAGTCTTTTTTATTGCTCTGTCTTATCACTTTTCTTTTGACAACATTTTGCATTAATCTTTTTCCTGCGCATGCATACTAAGCAGCTACAAAGAGAACATATCCCCTGTCTGCAATCCACTGTCCTGGAACTAATGGACCACGCTATGCTGGTGTATTAGGCATATTAGGGAGTTTACCAACTATGTATATTTGTTCTCTTATGATATTACTTAAGATCCACAATTTGTTACAATGTAACTTGCACAAGTTCACTTTAAAATCATCTCTTCATGATGATCTCTCTCCGAGTCTGGGCCACAAATAGCTCAATAGATTCTTGATATTTCAAGACTTGTGCCATGACAAAGTACTGTGTCTTCTCTTACGTATAAGAGGTTACCTAGGTATTTATTATTTTATAGTTAAAGCTTCCAAGTTCAAGTCCCTTCGTGGTCGCCAATTGTAACCACGGCTGGTTCCCTTATTTACCACTAGAACGTCTTAAAGCATAGAACTTAGTAGGGCTAACCATACAGATATCTTAGCCATAATTTCATATAGTTAGTGTAAGAGATCCTCTATTTAACAAATATAAATAATTGAGAATACAATATAAAATAAGGATTGTCTTGGAAGCAATAAAGATTTGTCTTTTTAGATATTTATTATATAAAAATATAGACATATAAAATCCATTATAGCAGAGTTTATAAGATTAAACTAAATGCTTGCAAATATCATTAATAGGTTAACATACCCTTCTGAACATGTCATCATGTCAGCCTCTCTGTCATTTTAAGATGGAGCAGCGTCTGTGTCCAAGTCTCTCCTCTGTTCCTTAACATTTAAAAGTACACCTATTTATACCTTCGTTGTCTCCATTTTAGGGTTACCGTAGTTCATATATGAAAAAGTTACTTTTTTCATTTTAGGACCTCCCTTACGTTGGCAAAAATACAAGGCCATAACTAAAGGGTGTATACGTCATGGAAATTTTCCTGACTTAGTTCAAGCTGGCATCTTAAAGTCTGGACATCCTTATCTACTTAGGGTTACCACAGTATATTGTGTACTGAAAGAGTCCTAGCATAGCCTTGAAGCTTGTTTATGCATTATTGTTATTGTAATTCGTCTGGGACAAAATGGCGCAAACATAATATGCACTGAGGTTATTGCTTAAAGAAACATCTATGAAAAACAATATGTTCCATTTCTAACACCTTGTCAGTTTGCAATATCTCTTAAAGACAAAGTACACAGTTTAAGAAATACAACATTTCATTCTAAAGCTTGTAATATTTGCCCATAACAATATAACTTCATGAATTCTGCTGCCGATAATGTGGTTAAATAAACGCGTTCATTAGTGTTATCCGTTAATAGTCCTTGAAGCTATTTCTCTTTAACAATATCAAACTAATATGTTTGCAGTAATATGATACAGAAACCACAATATCACCACTGAAAGGTTGTTTGTTTTTGTTCTTGTGAGTTTTTTATTTTATTGACTTGAGAAACTTTCAGGCTAATTCCTTTTTCTGTGCCTCCAGGAATTTTTATAAAAGTCCCTGCTTTCTAAGTTACAGTACAGTCTTTATATCTGACCATCTCTCAGATGATCAGTCACTTGCTATTCACGTTAATGCGAAACCCTGATTGCTTTAGCCAAGCTGTCAGGGAGTTCTAAATTGTCCTTCATTGCTCGTGTTGTGAGGGAAATATATTCCCTCTTTCTTTTTCATTTTATCTTTCAAAGTGTATGTGAATAGAGAATGCAATATTATGTGTGCTATTTTATTGGCATAAATGCGATTCCATTTGCACACTACACAAGCAGCTTTTTTCTTTTTTCATAAAGGTGCAAAGGGTGTGTTGGTGCTGTTCTGGATTAGCTTGCTTTCTCCTGTTCACACCATCTGTGGTTCTCCTTCAAATATCCTCAGAAGGGATTGCAGTTTGTGAGCTATACAAGTGTTCGAGAGAAAGTCATTGCTCTGTTTTCACAGTGGGCAGATGAGGTCATATTGCATGTGGAGCAACTGCTCATGCATTTGTCTGTAATTCCTTGGTTTTGTCAATGTACTGAAAATGTATGTAATTTTTGTTCGTTGTTGCCATAAATTGCACTTGTGTTTATTTTTACTTTAGTGATGATCACGTTAAGTTCTTCTGTTTTCAAGTCCTTGAACATCAAATAAAATTCAAGTAAGTGTCCTTTAATTACGTACTAGTCCTTTCGAAAAATATATATCAGCTGGGGTTGAAAACTATAAACATAAAGACAGGGGTGCACTCACGGGTCTTAGATAAAGTGGCAACTGGTTTATTCGAATGAAAAAATCTTAAATACATCTGTGAAAAAGTCGACGTTTCGACTCCTAAGGGGCTTTTTCAAGATGTATATATGTTTGTGTGTATATAATATAATTTTTATAGTAGATTTTGTAGCCGTATTAGTCCGTTGATGCAGATGTAAAATAAGATATGTAAGCACATATGCACAGACAACACAGCCACCAACAACCAAACCTTAAAGCATTACAGAATCATACACCTGCACATCTAGCAATGTAGGATATATGATACAATGTACTAAATACATTGGGAAAACAACCCAGCAATTAAATGGCAGAATGAATATTTACAGATACTACGTTAAAGGACCACTATAGTGCCAGGAAAACATACTTGTTTTCCTGGCACTATAGTGCCCTGAGGGTGCCCCCTCCCGCCGGGCTCTGTGGAGAGGAAGGGTTAACCACTTACCTTTCTCTAGTGCCGGGTGGGGAGCTTTCCTCCTCCTCTCCTTCCTAGCGATGTCATCGGCTGAATGCGCATGCGCGGCAGGAGCCGCGCGCGCATTCAGCCAGTCTCATAGGAAAGCTATGGTGATTTTCACAGTGAGAAGCACGCAAGCGCCTCTAGCGGCTGTCAATGAGACAGCCACTAGAGGCTTTAGAGGCTGTATTAACCCTTAGTGTAAACATAGCAGTTTCTCTGAAACTGCTATGTTAAAAAAAAAAAGGGGGGGGGGGGGTTAATCCTATCTGGACTTGGCACCCAGACCACTTCATTAAGCTGAAGTGGTCTGGATGCCTATAGTGGTCCTTTAAACACCATATAGAAGCATCTTACAGCACTCCTGTGGAACAGCATTTTACCCTGCCTGACCAAGGACCTAAAAATTAAAGTGGTCAAAGGGGATTATAGAAATACCCAGGAAACAAAATGTTTATAGCCAGAATGATTACATTCTTAACAGCAATAATCGAGGACTAAATGTTGATTTGGGTCTCCTGTCCCACTACCAAAGTTTTACATGACACACACACACTCACACTCTCTCTCCACATTCTACATTTTAGGGTGCATTCTAATGACCTGTTGATGGGGGTTTGTTTGTGTGTGCGTGAATTTGTACATATGTAGGTATATGTATTGGTTTTTGTGTATGGATCTGTGCATGCATTTGTATGTTTATGTATGTGTGTGTGTGTGTGTATATATATATATATAATATATATGCGTAGGTTGTTTATATTTCCCTCCTAGTACAAACTCATGCACTGTTTGTTTGTTTTTGTTTTTTTCCTCTCCCCCCTCACTCTGTGATCCTTACACAAATATTAATGACCCTCTGTGCGAATAGTGTCTTTTCTATCTGTGTTTTATTTGCGCTTATGTCGCTTTAACCCCAGTATCACAAGTCCGCTTTTAATTCTGTGTTGTTTTTGCTCAGAAGTGCTTTTGATGTGTCGTTCCAAACTTCTGTTAGTCCAATAAAAAAGGTATTCCAAGATACTAATTTAATCTGTTATTTTAACCACACACAGGTAGATCTCAATTTTGTTGGAGAAAACAATATTGCTGATTTTACATTTTGTAGTCCGCTTTTCAAAATATTTATCCTTTTCTTAAAGATGTTCCCAACAATTTCTATGATGGTTTGGAGCTGCATCTTAACACTTTCTCCTTTGTTGTAGGATACTTTAAATTATTGTAGATGCTATAGGTTTCTCCATGGTGGTGTTCACTTACAAGTTTTATCTTTTGGAATGAAAGAAAAAATGTTTTGGGGTCCTTTTAAAAAAGTTTTTTTTACTTTTTATACATGTGGTGTAACTTTTTTCATGCAATCTTTTCTTGCAGATATTCAGAATTGACTACATTGCAGCAGCAATTAATAAGAGAGACACTTGTCACATGGCTTCAATCACAGGTAATTTTCACTTATTTAAAATTGTTTCCAGTTAAAGTTCTTCTGTCGAGAAAGAAATAAGCTGATGCCATTTTTCTTCTTTTTTTTTTTCTTTCACTTTATTGCTTGCAAATGCATATTTTATAGGGTTACTCCAAGCACCATGACCACTCCTGTGAGTTCATGGTGCCTTGAGTCTGTATGTTTGGCCTGGCTACTATCAGTTCTGGGCGAATTTCGATGTACAGACATTCATTGACTGGTAGTCGTCAATTGACACTCTTAACCAGTGAATGAGTGGCAGGAGCATCATTAATCGACATTGAAGTTATAAACCTGCCTACAGAGGAGTCCTGGCACCCGCCACGATCAGTAAACCCAGTTTTCCCTATTACCAGGGAACAGAAAAGATTTCCGTGACTTTATATTTATAATATTGCACCTTACGATACCTATACAATGTCATTTTTGTTATGAGAATGTGTCAGTGAATTTAAAATGTTAGTTTTTCCAATTTGAGAATTAATGTTTGTTATGGACAATTCCTGGTTTGGTAAACAACCCTGTGAATGTTTGTGTCTGATTATCTGACTTTGACTTTTTATGATAATTTTATCTGTGATCTGGTCATAATAAAGATTTGCAAAAGATACTTGTCTTGGAGAATGTAGTGGACTTAAGCAAAGAAAAAGGAAAAAAGCAAAACACATGGATTGCTGTTTAATTTTTTACATATTAATACAATATCTTTTTGTGTGTTTGTGAAGCCATCTGCTTTTAGTTATGATTTCATAGAACTACTACTTCTGCTACACAGATGCTTAATGCGCAACCAGAGAAGACATTTATTCGTAATAAAGCCGCCCAAGTATTTGCCTTGGTCTTTGTGACGGAATACCTCACAACGTGGCCCAAGTTCTTCTTTGATATTTTGTCAGTGGTGGGCCTTAATCCAAGAGGTGTGGACCTTTACCTGAGGATCCTAATGGCTATTGATGCAGAGGTGGTGGATCGGGATATAATTCATACTTCAGAGGTGAGTGTTTGGTATAAAAACACACGCTTAAAGATAGCTCAATGCATCCTTTTTACATTTATTAAAAACAAACTTAATTGCTTGCTTTTTTAATCCCTGTGTCTCTTTAATTCAGGGACCCAGATATTTTACGGTACTATGATGTTTCTAATGAAGAGCTGAAGCTGATTGGAGATTTAGACACTGGGTTTGATATATTGGCATTTCATTTACAGGAAGCCCGAAGGAACACACTGCTGAAAGATACAATGAGGGAACAGTGTATTCCAAATCTGGTAGAATCATGGTACCAAATCCTTCAGACCTATCAGCATAGTAATTCCGAGCTGACATGCCAGTGCCTTGAAGTAATTGGAGCATTTGTCTCTTGGATAGATTTAAGCTTGATTGCTAACGACAGGTATGTTTTGTACGAAAATCTGTGATCATTCTATCTAGATGAAGAGATGCTTTCATACAGGCAAACAAATAAAAGCTAATGATCTATTTTTTTTTACGGGTACTTTTAATGCAGCAAGGTACTTGCGTCAAACGGAGTTAAAGGCAAGGTGTTGGTTAAAAATTTTATTTTTAATGCAAAAGGTAGTTTAAATAAATATGCATATTTTTCATTTTATTTTTTGTAAAAAGTCCTTGAAATCCTACCTTCTAGGACAAGTTCTTCAGTTAAGCTAATCCGTTCTTTTATTGTGCGACTCTAACGTCTGTGTTCATGAGGGACATCGTGGACACAAGTAAAATGGTTATTACTAAAATATATAACTTATCTTTTTATCATAAAATATATGGGGGGAAAAAAAACACTCATCTAGTGCTGGAATACGTAGAAAAAGGAACTGCTTTGACTTGACTAATGTCACACAAAAGCTGCAGGTAGTACTGTATGTAAGAACGTGCTGGCAATGAAGAGTGCAGAAGAAAAGTTCTAAAGTAAGCACACTCTGAGTACAGACTGATAGAACATATGTGCCAAGTAAACGCTTCTTTTCAAGAAAAGTGAAGGGAGGCTGTGTGAGTCACAGCTGGGGTGGGTGTGTCTAGGATTGCCTAAACTGCAGAGAAAAGAGTTGTGAGGCTAGAGGGGCATGATCTGTGCACCAAAACTATTTAATTTAGCTTTGACTGGTGGCAGTCATTTCCTCACTGTAGGGTAGGAAAATATATTAATATATCTTAATATATTAAAATCAGGGACGTAATAAAGATTATATTTCATTGAAACAACTTTGTCCTCCTTGGAATGCTATCATGCAAATTGTGTACAGGGAGGTTACTCAAAAGTCTTTAAGAGGAAATGCCTCCAGTTTATGTAAGAGACACCATAGCAACAAAACCGCTTAATTTTCATAAAGTGGTTATGGTGCGTAGACCCTGAACATCTTCTCTGATAAATGTAAATATTTCTGAGAACCTGCAATGTTAATATTTGTAAGAGAACGTGCCTCTAGAGACCGTCTCTAGATGCATTTCCTCATTATGTGTTCAATTTGGCATCATCAAGTCCAGCATGATGCTGAGCACTCATAGAGAAACATTGGGTTTAGTGCATCTCTATGAGAAACATTTGATTGGCAGTACTTATCTATCTCCAATGTCATTGTGGGCGCAGCAAGTGTTGAGAGAAGGCTTTCTCGGCACTGGGATTACAGGTAAGTTTTTTTTTGTTTTGTTTTTTTTTTATATATATTTTGCTTTAAATATTTAAAAATAAAAATGATGTTGGGGTACATACACATGCTAAGCTTAGAAATGTGTATTTATATGTAACCTTAGTGTTCCTTTAAGAATGGTATGCATGCAAAATATTATCAGTCATTCTAAATAATCTCCTGAAGTTATAGAATTTTAAAGAGTGCAGCCTACATGATGAGGGTAGAGTTTATGGCATAAATCGATATTTATACTGTGATCCCAAGAATATCTTCTTTAGCATATATTTTCTGCATTTTTCAGGTTCATCAATATGTTGCTAGGTCATATGTCAGTGGAGGTTCTCCGGGAGGAAGCATGTGACTGCTTGTATGAAATTGTAAATAAGGGAATGGATCCAAGTGATAAAACCAAATTAGTGGAGTCTTTGTGTCAAGTCTTGCAGTCTGCAGGATTTTTCAGAATTGATCAGGTTAGTCCTCTCAATTTATAAAGTCTCATGCAGCAAGAAAATTTACTACATATAGCATGCCAATTGTCACTATACCCCACTTCCTCTAGAATGTAAGCTCATTGAGCAGGGCCCTCCACCTCTCTGTTCCTGTACGTCCAGTTGTCTGGTTACAATTACATGTCTGTTAGTCCACCCATTGTTCAGCGCTACGGAATCTGATGGCGCTATATAAATTATAATAATTAAGAGTAGTTCTATCCAAAACACGCAAGACTTTATGCCTTTTTGTGGTGAAATTCTGATTGTGAACTACAGTTTTCTCACAAGTGCAGCAGATTTGACATTTTCACTATTCTGATATATGCAACACGTCTGAGATGCATGTAATGTGTTTCTATAAACGGGGGGGGAGGTGTAGTGGTTATGGTGCCTGGGGTGTTCCTTTTAAAGCAGTGGTTCCCAAACAAATCCTCATGATCAACTAACAGACCAGAATTAATTTCCATTTTCTAATCTAATGGATTTACTGAAACAAACTGGACCATTGCTTGGATTATGGGTAGTGGTTTGAAAACCACTGTTGTAAAGAAACACAAACATGCTGACCAGTCCCTCTCCTTCCCCATACTGAACACAATGCACAGAGATCATCTGAAACATAACCAGCTTGGGCTTAACATTTATAGAGTAGAAGGAAATTTGGAGCTATTCCTTGCTCCCTTTTAATAGGAGAGGATACTTGTGGGTATCCCTTGCTCCCAGTTGTACTTTATTTTAAATTCAATGTATTTTCTTCACACACAGAGGGTTACATTGCCAGTGCTGAACTTCAGTCATGCTGCCCATTCCTACTAATTGCTGTGCATGCACTGATCAGTTCTGAATTGCTCTTTCCATAGACTGAATGGTCTGAGAGCACTTTTCTCAGCAAATGCATGTTTCATGATGCTCACGTTGTGCTCGCTGTGGATATGATCTCTAGTGTCCCCAGAAGTGGTATATGAGAGAGCAAACCCAGGAAGGCAGGACAAAACCCTAAAACATGGACTGTCCTTCCTAACCGGAGACCCTTAGAAAGTATGAAGTGGCGTTAGGGGTCGATAAACCGTTCAGTGACCCAACTTTATGGTGAAATGTAGTGAATCAAAAAGTTAGCCATGGGGGTACTTACGTGGTGAGTAACTTTTTGTCTAGGCTTGTTGCTCAGTACGTCATAGTTTTACCACCGTACATTAATATATACACGTTAATACATTTTATGATTTAAGTAATGTAATTGTGGCAGGTTTTCAATTTTTTGTTTATCCTCCATCCCCCTTTCCCTTCTCTAAGTGAGCATATCGAATGGCGAGCTGCCAAGCTGTTTGTTTTTCACTCTGACGTTTTCAGCTCTTTCTTAGTTTTTGTCAAGTAAAAGACTGTTTTGTATTTGGTAGTATCTGTTTCCTGTCCTACTGCTAATGCTCATAAAACAATTGATACAGGAGGAAGATGTGGATTTCCTGGCCAGATTCTCCAAGCTTGTCAATGGAATGGGGCAGTCTCTCATCATTAGCTGGACTAAGCTGGTAAAATCTGGTGATATGAAGAATGCTCAGGATACCCTGCACTCTATCGAATCCAAAGTGCCTCTGATGTTACAGTTACTCGTCCATGAAGATGACGACATCTCTTCCAACATTATTGGCTTTTGTTATGAATATTTACACATCCTAAAACAGGTGGGAAAAGTGGCATGGATTGCACACAAGGATAAAAAAAAAAACCCACAACATATATGACTACATAAGACCAGTGAATATATGAAAATCTGTATCTTTCTGTTGCTTTGGTGGCTTCAGTCCATAAAGCTTAATGTTTTTGATGTGCTAAAACTAGGGACAGTGTATGGGTCATAACCCCCCACCACCCTAAGAGCCAAATGCCTGACCTCTTCAATAAGTATTTTGCTTATCTGGCTCGCTCTCAGTTGCCAACAAGTGGTTCCAGCTTTGGAAAACTCTCAATATGTTGAGCAGTGTACTTGCTTCCCCCTTTAAGCTTTAATTATGCCAGAGAAAAAATATCTTATTTTACTGTCTGGGTAGATGGGTACAGCACTACGGAATTTGCTGGCGCTATATAAATAGGTAAAACATTATGTAGAACTGCCTGATTTAAAAAAAATAAAATAAAAAAAATTCTGGACTTTATTCCACAGTACATTGTGGCCATTTCTGATCCTGTTGCTTTGGCACTGCTATTTATACAGATATGACTAATGTGTTTTCAGCTCAATGTGAACATGTGTTCTTACTAATTCACTGAAAGCTATAAGTGTCCTTAGGGAAGGTAGAACGTAAGCTAATCAACGGAATGACTGTTAGATTTTTAAACCTAAACAGTCATTCATTCTAGGACGAGAAAAGGGGCGTATTGTATCCTTCATACATACATTTTGAGATGCAAGGAATTTTTTGTGTATGTATATTTGTATATCTGTGCGTAAAATATAATTTTATTAACAAATATGAGTCTGAGATATATTTATTTCATGCAGAGTTAATTGTAAATTAACATGGAAAATGTGTCCTATTTACAGCTTGCCTTGCTTTCTGACCAGCAGAAGATAAACATAGAGGTAAAATATTCCTTCATTGCCCTGTACCCCTTTGTGTTTATTATATAGTAATATGCCTTATCTCGTGCATATTTGTCTTGGTGTTGGGGAGAGAATGGGTTGTGGATATTTTTGATTGCCCTGGACTGTGTTTTTAAGACTGTTTTATTCACATTCCTACTGATTGTGATCTTTTCTATGTATGGATGACCTCATTCTGTTTACTGATACAGATGTTGAAATTCAAGGCTTGATCTCTGTCACCAAACATTCCCAGCGCTCCACCCATACATTAATTACTGACTGTTATAGTCTTGTTAAATAAATCTGAAGCACCCTTTGACAATTGCTCTCTACTATGCTTCAGCCTATTTATGTCTGTGTGCCTAATACAGAGTCCTTTTAGTTGGTGCTAATCTGCAGTTTCACAGAGTATCCACACTTGTCCTTAGTCAAATGGTAATACAAAACATATGTAAGAATGCTGGGAGTAGGGCCTCCTAAACCACTGCATTAATAAACAAATAGTAATTATTTATTTGGTTTCTCGTATTTGAATCAATTTGGAATATTCTGGATAGGAATCCTAATAAATGCAAGTCCTGCCTCTTCATTCTTTTCAAATAAGTAGTGTGATGAATGTGCAAATAATTATATGTACACTAGTCATTGGTAACTTTACTAGGTATACCTGTTCATTAACACAAAACTGATTAAATAGTGTCTGCAATGCAAGATACAAAACCTGGTCAAGGTGTTTATCAACTTTATCAATCAGAAGACTGTATGATGCAAAATATACATTGTTTGTACCGGAAGTAGTAGTTTCAGCATTTCCAAAATAGTTTTCAATAACTGCAATAATTACAGTTGCAGTGTTAAAGGGACAGGGGCACACAGATCACTTTAATGAGATGAAGTGTTATGGGTGCCTATAGTGTCCATTTAATTCAGCATGGGCCAAAATCTCAACAAAAGATTGTTTTTACAAGTATTCTATTGCTACTTATATTTTCCTGTGCTTAATGTTGTTTTATTTTTTTCAATACTGTAGGCGATCATGCTCGCTGTAATGAAAAAGCTAACATATGATGAAGAATATAATTTTGAAAATGAGGTAAGTTAAGAAATCCTCTAAAATTAAAACTGTATAATTTTAAAACAGTTAAGTGAAGTAAAAGTCCCGAGTGGAGCCGAATGCGCATGCGTGACCAGAGGCGCGAGCATTCAAACCCGCCCATAGGAAAGTATTACTCTGTGCTTTCCTATGGGGATCTTATTTGACGCTGGACTCCATGAGGACGTCCAGCGTCAGATAAGTGTAAAGTGTAGTTACTTAGTGTTAATCGCGGAAGCCACTAGATGCTGGATTAACCATGCAATTTAAGAATAGCAGTTTCTTTGAAAGGGACCGGGCACCCAGACCACTTAATTGAGCTGAAGTGGTCTGGGTGCCAATTGGGTTTCCTTTAATGCTAGCACAAAGCAGACTGAAAACCGTGATAGTTGTGTGTCTATTTGTGTCTCAATATTTTTGTTCCTTACAAAAATTGTATATATTTGTGATGATACAAATTATCACCATGACCAACTTTTTAACAAAATGATGCTTTTATTTCAGAAACTATCTATTACACTGACTTTTTTAAATGTTATTGTTTTCAGGGTGAAGATGAAGCAATGTTTGTAGAATATAGGAAACAGTTGAAGCTGTTGCTGGATCGTCTAGCTCAAGTCTCACCAGAGTTATTGCTGGCTTCCGTTCGTAGAATTTTTAATAGTACACTACAGTAAGTTACAATGATTGTCCTAGTAGAAAGTCCTGGTTGGTCCTTATCTTCCTACAGTAATTTGTGGAGAGCTCAGTGGCATTTTTTTCTGTTTGTTTTTATTATTATTATTATTATTATAAGCTAAAATTTCTGTTATGAGTTTGAAGTTTATTTCAAAAGTCAAATATTCTACCGTACATTTGACAGCAGTCTGTTTGACCTTTTATGGATGTTCTGGAGATGTTAAACCTCTGTAACATCTTAACAAGAGTCCGAGATAAAGTTTAATACCTTGTTTAGATAACTAGTCACCCTAAATTAAGTGGTCTGGATGCAGCGGCTCTGTATGTTTAACCTTTCAGTTTGCTGTTTATCAGAAAGAGTAATGTTTACCTTGAAGGGTTAAACACATACATGACCACCACTAGAGGTACTTCTGCACTGACCAAATAAAACTCAATGCTGAATTCAGTGCTTTCCTATGAGAAGCATTGAATGGGCGCATGGCGCTCGCTGCTTATGCACATCAGATCCTCAATGCTCCTCCGAGGAGCATAGGATTGAATGATCAACGAGAAAGCCATGCTTCCTTGAGGATGGGAGGTATACAGCATCAATGGAGTCTCGGCACTAGAAAAGGTGAGTAAAACCTGTATTTACTAATTATTTTTGCATGTGGTTGGGGGGTTATATCTAGGTGCAGGGGCATTGTAGCATTAGGAATACAGGTTAGTATTACTAGCGTTAGTGTTTCTTTAACCTGCAAGGGAAAATGTTTCTCCGTTTAGTCGTGCATTTGCGGAATTTTATGTTGCATATAAATGTTGGTGTAAGATTTAGTTCCAAATACAATGTCTTGTCTGTGTATATAATGCATACAAAGGGAATGGGAAGCGGGTTGGGATCACTGGTGGAGAGCATGTAATAAGATGGTGCAGATAAAACAGAAGTGAACTGGAATAAGTTGATATACCCAAGAAGGCGGTTGAAATTGTTTTGGGTAAAGGGAAAAAAGGGGGGAAACAATGTAGGAATGAACAAGTGCATCTATTTCTGTTAAGGGGCTGGCAGACGGCGCCATTTATGGAAGTGGAAGTGGCCATCAGACTGGTATACATGTTGGGCGAGGCAATCCCAGCATCGCATGGTGCTCATTTCTGTGGTGACTTTACTAAAGCAAGCGCTTTACAAGACATGATGAGAACGGTGAGTCATGTGCTATTCTTTGAACTAAATTAAGTTTTAAATGGACTCCAGTGGATTCCTAAAAAAAGTCACATTTTAATCTAATATTTTCATCTATGCATTCCACTTGACATAATTGCTTGGGATGTATTTAGAAATACTCTTTTAAATTTGATTAAGTAATTAAACATTTATTATATTTTTTTTTTTCAATATTCGTTAATATAGTGGATAGCAGTCCAATTAACGAATTTTATAATGTTATTAGTAGTAGGTAAAATGTGAACTGTAATGCAATGTATTAGAATTTCTTGTATAAATTCATTTTAAACCAATACACTTACAAATTGTCAAAATAAGACCAGTTTCTACTGAAGAGTAGGGATTGGAGATGGGAGCACTGATTCACTATATTTTAAAGGTTGCAGCAATACCAATCCGCACATCAAGTATATCTGTGGTTATCTCTATTAACACTCTATGTTTCTCTTCCAGCTGGTGACATCTGGAGTGAGTTCATACAATCATACCTCTGTTACATTAGAATACTTTGAAACTGTGGTTCGGTATGAAAAGTTCTTTGCGGTTGAGCCCGTTCACATTCCTGATGTTCTGGTAGGTGATTTCATAGTTATTTTCCACAAATTCAATTTAACTTGGATTGCAATGCTTAATTTTCATCACAAAATGATTTAGCTTATATGCAAGTGTTTTCTGTCTAATAATTTTCTGGGACTACAAGTACACTTTTCTGGGACTATAAGTACCCTTCTATTGCTCTGAACTCTGTCCATACCCGTTAATGTTTAAAAAAAAAAAGTTAAGTTTGTTCAAATTTACTTACCTTCTTTCCAGCATGGAGAAAACCCCACTGCAGAAGCATTGGGGGCGCAATACACATGTGCGGTGAAATGCCATGTTCGTCCAATCAAATGCTTTCTATGAGCAGCATTTGACTTAAAGGGCTACTAGAGTCCTAGGAATATAAAGCTGTATTCCTAGCACTATTGCTGCAATGCTTTCTTATGGTGATTGACCTCTCTAAAGGCAGTCTTAGTCGTGCAATGTAATTATTGCAGTTTCCCAGAAACTGCAACAATTAACATAGCAGGGCTAAGGAGGAGATGAATGCTGCAACCAGACCATTTCAGTGAGCTGTAATGGTCTGGGTGCTTATAGTGTTCATTTAAGAACAGTCTGACTACGTTCTCACAGGGGTTCCTCTAGTGGCTGTCAAGAAAACACACTTGTGATTTTATTAAACCCTGCAGTGAAAATATTGCAGTGTTAAAATGACTGGGGCACTGCACCCAGACCACGTAATTGTAATGAAGTGACCGGGGAGCCTAAATTGATCCATTAAGCTGTTTTTATATGATCTGGAATTAACAATTTTTTCTTGTGACTTTTCCTTTTTAAAAATTAAATAATAAATCAGGCTGATTCATGCTGATTCATGAAATAGGTGTCTTATTTGAGGTTTAGTTGTTTTTCCATCGTTGATACGGTGCTGGCATTAGGGTTTCCAAGTCTTGTTTTAATGTAATCTTCGAGGTGCATGAATTAGAGCTTCCAGAAATAAACATTTTAATTTACATTTTGCACCTACTGTATTTATGTATGTATGTAAATGTATACAGATTTTAAAAAGTAATTTGTTTCAGATGGCATTCTTGGATCACCGAGGCCTGCGGCATCCTAGTCCCAAAGTTCGCAGTCGAACATCGTACCTCTTTTCAAGATTCGTAAAGTCTCTTCAGTAAGTACAGAATTTGTTGGGAAACAGCATGAAGCCATGAGTCTGCATTGGAATTTTAGTAATTCATCTGTGTGGATTAGAAGCTAATGAGATAAACTGTAAATCTCTGCAGCTATATTAAACTGACTTAAGGTTTATAGTGGAGCTATAACAAATGTAGTTTATATAGTGATGAAATTTTTGTGTTTAGGATAAAAGCTACCAAGCCTCACATTACATGTGTTTTAGTTTTGTTTTGTTTACTATTTTGTGTTGAATGGAGTTTCTATAAATATTTTCATTTAAAAAAATTTACACGGACCACTAAGCAATAGCCTGTAGTTGATAGATGCATGAGAAATAAAAACAAAAAGGCTAAATACAAGCAGAATTCTCTAAATGCTCTCATACATGCACAAGGGATAATTGACGCCTCTGACATTAAAGGGACACTGTAGGCACCCAGACCACTTCAGCTCATTGAAGTGGTCTTGGTGCTGTCTTTTTTGCACTTAGTGCTGCAATGTAAAACATTGCAGTTTCAGAGAATTTGGATTTCCGGAATCCAAATGGACTTTTGGTCCGTTATCAGATTTTCCCCATAGGAAAGCATGGTCATTAGGTCTCCCCTGCCGGCTTACGTTGGCGGAGGAGAAGCGTGGGCAGAGCCTGATCCAGTGCAGAGGAACATCGGTGCTGAATTCAGGTAAGTGGTTAAAGGGGTTTGCCCCTTCAGCCCCATGGGAGGGGGGGCACGAGGGAGGGAGGCACTCCAGGAGCCTATAGTGCCAGGAAAATGGTTTTGTTTTCCTGGCACTATAGGATGCCTTTAATAAGCAGTAGAGGGGCAGAGCGATCAGCACACCATAAGTTGATATAGTGCCCAAGATGTCCATTTAATGTTTTGAAGGAATAGAACTCTTGTTCACTTCTTGATAATTGTTTTGCATACATGAACTATAGAAATGCATCATTTTAGAAATAGTATAAATCTGTATTAATGACCCTTAGGTTAGAAGAGTTTATTTAAACCACATTTGTCATCCATTTATTGTGTTAATGGCACGTTCGCATTCCGATACATCATTTTTATCAGATGTTCTCTTCCTCCATAAGGGAGTTGTGCAGATGCACACAAAGGTGCCAAATCCAAAATATGCATTCAGCATCCTAATACTCCTAGTATGTGAATTACATTAGGGGGTTATGGTATGCCTGCAGGTAGGCTGCTTCTCCCACAGTGGCTCTTGACCTCTAGGTTTGTGAACATATAACACCATTAAATGATTCCTCTACATTTGCCTGTGGGTGGCTAACACAATGTATAGATTAAGTATTATGCTCATTAAAGGGATGTCAAGTTCTGTTTGTCGTGCTGGCTGCGGTTTTAAACTTGGCTCTTTTATTCTAACCGATCTATAGTGTTTTAATCTCAGAAGTACAATTAGGGATTATTCTAGCCTCGGTGAGGGAATAATCTAAATTTTATTAAAGACAGGAGGCGAATATTTGCTTTACCTTCTTTACTGAAACCTCCAGCAGCAAAGAAACAGTTAACAAAACTTTTCAAAACAACCAATCAGAACAAAGCAACAGTAGTATAAAACCCCTAAGCAGGCTCTTCCACTTCCTCTTTCTTTGATGAGGTCGAGCAGGAGAGCAAGGAAACCAACGAATCCACCTTGTAGCAGACACATCCAGAGAAACAATCGTCAAGCCCAGAGAGAGAACAGATTACACTGCAAGAAAACAGAAAACATTGTGAAAGTAAACTGTCAAGGCAAGATGTCATATCCATACAATATCACTTTCACATCATAATACCTGATGAATAAACAAAGTCTACAGATCTTATGAAGACCTAGTATGTACCTAAGCTAAAAAGGCATTGACGAAACATAATTACAACACAAACATGATGAATAAAACGCACACGGACAACCATCACTGAATATTAGAAATAACCTTTATTATGTAAAACCATGCATTCACAAAACATAACGATATCCCCAATTATTTATAATAGAATAAAACCCAGATCCAGGGAGGGAACGTAAAAAAGGGGGGGAAATATTCGCCTCCTGTCTTTAATAAAATTTAGATTATTCCCTCACCGAGGCTAGAATAATCCCTAATTTTATGGCAGGACAGGAGGCTTCATATTTGCAATTTTAACGCCCAAATAGTAGAACCAGAAGCAATATGAGAGAGGACTGAAATAAAGGAGAATGGAAAAACTGATTCCCTAAACCAAGCAGCGGTGTAGAGAAAAGGCAGAAGGGACCCAACGGCTTCCAAAATTGTTGAGGTGACACCACCCCGAACCAAAAGTGTCCCAGAGGAACTCAAGGTCAGTCAATGAGAGGATCCACCAAATCCAACGGGCGAGCGAAGATGCAGAAACAGTCCAAAACGGCCGTACGCAGAAATAAACAGCTGTCCATGAGTAGACGGACGAAAGAACCAGATCCTGGATCTACATGGTCGTGTACAATCTGTCAGAGCCATGGCCTATCCGGAGAATAGGGGTACGACACAGAGGACGAATAAAAATGAAATATGTGTGGAGCAGAAGCCGATGTACTGAACGGCAAGAAGGAAGAAGACACGTCGATACCATGACGTCAGAACACGATGAAATACAAGATGTACTGGGGGGAAACCGTAAGCGGGAAAAAATGGTGCACCTTGTCATCAGGTCATTCCTCAATGAAATGCAGAACATACGATACCACTAGACTTGAGGAATAGTGAGAGATAGGGCTCCCGTACGGTATACTCCTCTTGGTAGACTGCAGACCAAGAGATCCTTAGCAATGCCAGAATCTTGAGAAAATGCACATGAGTCGTCCACTAGCTGACATAGGACGTGAATGGCCCCATACGATTCTACCCTGAGAGGGCAACTCAGCCAGACAATGGGGACAGCCATGATAAGGACCGCCATTGGGACCCAAACACCAGTCGTGGCAGGCTACCCCTGTGGATCCCACATGGGACATTAAGAGACAGGGAGTCGTAGATTGCCTTCCCATGGCAAACTCCAGCAAAAAGGGGAAAGCACGCAGGACTCCTCCAAAGTGGTTTGGCCAGGCGAAACGACACACCAGGAATTCGGCCTGAAGCAAAACCCAAAGTATCCTGTAGGTAAACGGGATGCGTACGCCCCGAAGGAGACCAAGCTTGGAAAACTCGTCCCTCGCCTCGCTGAGGGAGAACCGCTCCGTATGGCGGTTTGCACCGAATGTAATCATGCCAGTACTCGAGACCCTGGAGGGTGAGGCAACCAATCATTTGGGTCTCTCCATGGTCGGGTGAAGCCGTCCGCCACACGAGTGTCTCGTCCCGTATACATTCTGTCACAAATGACGAATACTTGTCCAGAAGCTATAGATAGCGATCCTATGTGAGATCCGACTGCAGTCCGTAGTGGGCAACCGGTGAGAAGTCCATGCCAGAAGGTAGCGAGCAATACTGTGAATGTTGAACAAACCTGCAGGTGGTTCCATGCAGTTGGCGTAAAGGAGTCCCTCCTCCGGAATCATCAATTAAGTTTTAGATGAGCTTCATCCGAAGGTCACATGATTTGGTCATACCAGGCCGAAGACCCGAGAAAGCGCCATGTTGGAGCGGCTGATAGTACCGGATCCTGGAGGTATGGCTTCCATGGCGAATAGGCACCGGTCAATTAACCGGTTTGGGCCCCTAAGTGTAACCCGCGGGTTGCGGAGCATATACCTGGTATTTTCCTTGAAGATGGACATCTTGGTCCTCGGGAGGCGGAGCACCGCCTGGACCGAATATTCCATGAAAGACCGGAAACTGGGTTGACTGGGAGTGAGTCAGATTCAATATGTCCATGTTGATGGCAAAATCCATGCGGGTTTCTCTCATGTGCATTTGAGGGAGAGAACCAATCGTCAACGCCAAGCAGCTCTCAGAGGGGATGAGTGCCCTCCGTCTCAAAATGTGTCAACAGACGACATATGCACTGGGAGCATGTAGCGTGGGGATTGGGCGGGAGTCCACTCCACCGCACCCTTTGCCCAGCAGGGCAACTGCGGAATTAGTCGGAATGGATGCCTCTTTTGGTCATGCATATCGCTCATGGAACGGTCCAAGGTTCCGCAACCTTGATCTGGAGTCCAGGCACGGTCCGAGAGACCTCTGGGGTTAGTTAAGGGGGAACCCTATGAATAGAGACGTGTCAGCTCAATTTGTACACTAGGGTAACTCCGGAGAGCAGACCCAGCACTTGGATGCTAAATCCTTCAGTTTGATGTCCAGCTTGGACAGGGGCCGTTTTGCGGTTCTCAGGGGTAGAAACCAACTAGGCAATACTTATAAGACATATCGGTCCATTCCCAGTGGGAACTTAGTCTTCTCCGCTTTCCAAGCGGTAATGCGCCGTTCGTCCCGAGGAAACATCTGTGTCCACGTGTCACCGACATCCACTGGTTAGTCCCAGATAGAGTGCAAACCCCGTGTCAGGTGTTTGCGGTGTCCTTTCCGGACTCCATCATGAAGACTGATCCTCTTGATGAATCCACCCGTTAGCCAACGAGTACCAGGGGTGCTTGGTGTAGCGTCTAGGATGGCCGGTGGAGTGTCCCCGTAGGGTACCGATGGTTTCTGGCGGTGAGGTCAGCGGGGCGGCAAGAGGACAGGCCAAGTGACCTTCTGGGTACGGGAGATTTGTCCTTCAGCCGTGATTGCACAACTGCCATAGAGGTAACACTGTCGGAATGATACCTTGTGCGGCCAGCTGGGGGTCACCCAGCGTGCAAGAGGGGGTCACCCAACAAGCACAAGCATACCATGCAGTATAGGCCTGCAGGGGAGGGGGTCACCCTCAGTCTGATCATAATCGGACACTGTAGGTACAGTGGTGCGGCCAGCTGGGGGTCACCCAGCGTGCAAGAGGGGGTCACCCAACAAGCACAAGCATACCATGCAGTATAGGCCTGCAGGGGAGGGGGTCACCCTCAGTCTGATCATAATCGGACACTGTAGGTACAGTGGTGCGGCCAGCTGGGGGTCACCCAGCGTGCAAGAGGGGGTCACCCAACAAGCACAAGCATACCATGCAGTATAGGCCAGCAGGGGAGGGGGTCACCCTCAGTCTGAACATAAATCGGACACTGTAGGTACAGTAGTGCCATAGTGGTTAGCCGTATAATAAAGTAACCAGACATTGCCGGTCCAGCAGTGTAGACAGCAGGAGGGGGTCACCCTCATATAACCAGAACCGGGCATTGCAGATCCAGCAGTGCTGTAGGTAAGAGGGGGTCACCCTCAGTGTGTTATCATAGAGGTCTGTACACCCAGCAGTATAGTCAGCGAGAGGGGGTCACCCTCATTATGCTTATAACGGGACCCTGTAGGTCCAGCAGAGTAGTCCACAGGAGGGGGTCACCCTCAGTATCTGCGTATTGCCGGGCACTGTAAGAACAGAAGCTCAATCAGTGGGAGGGGTACCCTCTTTTATGGGAATACCCGGACGCTGCAAGTCCAGCAGTGCAGACTGCAGGAGGGGTACCCCCTCGGTATGATAATAGCAGGACATTGCCGGAGCATTAATATAGGAAGCAGGAGGGGGTCACCCTCAGCATTAATCTTACAGGACGCCATAGAGCCAGCAGGGTACTCATAGGTAGCCATGTTGCCAGAGGGAGGGGGTCACCCAGCCCACAATGGTGTCACACGTCCATTATTATGGTCCAGTAGCGGGTAGAGCCCCAGAAATATGGATGGGGAGGATGGGGTCACCCCCCCAGTAATAACAGGTCTGAATGTGGGGCCAGTAGCCCCCCTGAGGGGTAGGAGGGTCCATAAAGCGAGAAGCTGACTCACAGACCACTCAGGTATTATATTAGGATACACTTTTGAAGTGTATGTGTAGTGGAAAATGTAAGTCCTTTGCAGGAAGGGCAGCAAATCCTAGGCAGGGATGCTAGGTGCTGAAAAACAGGCCATTAAATTTTTATGAGAAAAAGACTGAACCTTAGAGAAAGACTTGATTAGCATATAACACATGTGGCATAGTCTTGTTAAACAAAGATTTATATTTGAGCAGTAACATGTCCCTTTAAATCTGAGATTCACATGTAATAGTAAAAAAGTGTGACAAGTCTACTGCTAAGATAGAGAACCTAGTCACATTGCATCAGACATAGTAAGCTGCAGTTGTGAGCATGCCTGGGACAGATCCTGCTATCCAGGATCTGTTACATATGCAGCATGTGAGACAGGCACAGTAAGTAGAGGGATAGCTGAAAAACTGGGCTATCTCCCCTGATATAGGGAGAGGGGAGGGTGGCCACATGGCCAGCAGGCCAGTTCTTGGGTGAGACCTGGCTGTTTGCAACGCACAGAGTCCATGTGGCTCTGAAAAATGGCCGCCGCGGCTCCAACAAAATGGCTGCTGTGGCTGCAAAAACAGAGCGCGGCCTACCGCGTGGTGATCGTGCCACGGTAGAAAAAAGCTGCTCAGTAAGCGGCCAGGGGCCACGGGGAGCAGGTGGGCAATAAGGGAGAAGGGTATGGGCGACAGAGCCCAGCAGGGGAACCCGGGGAGGGGGAACAGATTACAGGCAGAGCCAAAGCATCATAGCAGGGGCACCCATTCCCCATACAGCAGAGTGAGAAAACAGAATAAAGTAACCCAGAATAACAATAAATCAATGAGCAGTATACAGAATCTATCAGATAAATAGCCTAAATACAGCAACAGATGTTAACAAGTGATACAGCAGCTACATAGCATGAAGTGGTATAGGAAATAACACAGAATAAACTGCCTAGCTAAACACAGCAATAGACTGCCTAGATAAACACAGCAATAGACTGCCTAGATAAACACAGCAATAGACTGCCTAGATAAACACAGCAATAGACTGCCTAGGTAAACACAGCAATAGACTGCCTAGCTAAACACAGCCATAGACTGCCTAGCTAAACCCAGCAATAGACTGCCTAAATAAAACTAGCAATTAAGCTGCTTAAACAAACCTAACAAATAGACTGATTAAATAGACTGTTTGAATAAACAAGCAGCATGTAGAATAAAACAACAACCAAGAGCAGAGACAACTCTGAGTTGGTGAGTGCTCACCTGGAGGCAGCAGCAAAGAAAGAGGAAGTGGAAGAGCCTGCTTAGGGGTTTTATACTACTGTTGCTTTGTTCTGATTGGTTGTTTTGAAAAGTTTTGTTAACTGTTTCTTTGCTGCTGGAGGTTTCAGTAAAGAAGGTAAAGCAAATATGAAGCCTCCTGTCCTGCCATAAAATTTGCAATATATACTAGATGTTTATAATGTATATCTGAACATGTTCTCTTTCCACCTAGTAAACAAATGAATGCATTTGTTGAAGACATTCTAAATAGGATACAAGATCTACTTGAGTTGTCTCCACCAGTAAGTGACTTTTGGATTAGAAATATAAAAGCATGGTTGTACACTGTTTTCTTTTTATTGCTTTTATTTTGTTTTGCATGTGCATAAGCTCCACAATTATTTATTTTTATTGACTGTGTACGAGATCCATAGAGTTGGGAGATGTAAAATGTAGACTACCTTAAACAAGGCTAGCATTCTCTGGTATTTATTTTAAAAAAAAAAGTTTTTTAGAACTGTACTTTTTTTTAACAAAACATATACTGACTGTGAAACATAAATATTGTTTTCTTCATTAAAAGATCACAAACATACATGCGTTGTTTCTTTGCGTTTTAGTTCTTCGTTATTTTGTTTTATAGCTTACTCTTTTAAATATTCTTCCAGGAGAATGGTTTTCAGACCTTGCTGAGCAGCGATGACCAGCTTTTCATATATGAAACGGCAGGAGTCCTGATTGTGAATAGTGATTACTCAGGAGAGCGGAAAAGTATTTTAATGAGAAATCTGTTGACTCCATTAATGCAGAAGTTTAAAATTCTGTTAGGGAAATTGATGATGGAGCAAGATGAAGAGCGACAGTCAGTATTGGCGGATTGCCTTAATCATGCAGTGGGTTTTACAAGGTAGGTAGAACCAGCTCAGGAAATTTTCTGTGAATGTAAAACAAAAACTATTACGGTGATAACTTTACATGTTCAGGTGGAAACTTTTTTTTGTTGTGGGGACATGATTTTTTTGAGTTCTTGTTTATATATATATATATATATATATATATATATATATATATATATATATATATATATATATATATATATATATATATATATATATATATATATATTCTATCAAAAATCAGGATGCACTCACAGGACTTAGTTAAAGTGAAAAAAAGACTTTTAATTATTCCATGTGAAATGTACAGAAAAATCAATCGACGTTTCGACCCTGACGGGTCTTTTTCAAGATCAAAAAGACCCGTCAGGGTCGAAACGTCGATTGATTTTTCTGTACATTTCACATGGAATAATTAAAAGTCTTTTTTTCACTTTAACTAAGTCCTGTGAGTGCATCCTGATTTTTGATTTCTGCATATTTTTGGCGCATAGGATATAGCACCCAGGCCATAAGTCTTCATTTACCATTTAAAGGAGAGTGCCAAGCATCTATTTTGTTGTTATATATATATATATATATATATATATATATATATATCCACATAGCAAAGGTGACCAGCACTCACGGATTCATTATTAAGTTAAAACATCCAAAGTTTAATGAAAAATAAAAAAGATTGTTGACAGCTCAACGTTTCAGTCCTCCTCTGGGACTTGCATCAGGAACAACAATGATTTCTCACAATACCCATCCATAAATAGGTAGGGCAATTAACATAATTAGTAATTAGAGAAATTAGCATAATTTTAAACTACATTCCAGGAATTAACATCAACAAGTATATACAAAAAGAAAGTTCTACCTACCAGTGTATAGCTGCACGAGCTGCCGGCGTCCCCAAAACTCCCGCGCGCATGCCCGGCCAAGCTACGCCCTCCGGCGACGTGATTAAACCACGCATGTTGCCACGGCGGCCGGACACAAGACCGGTCCGTCGCGGCAGCAAAATCATGTGCATCCGCTAAAAAAGCGGTAAAGTATAAGGTGCTAAGATGTGGTGAATACAAGAATCATCGATTCTATCCGTCCTCAAAAGGGCGGTGTGTATTAACATAAGCCCCACCCGACATCGGCACGGACACGCAACATCCGTTGCCCAGGAGACCGGAACAAATGCCGGGTCTCCGTGGCAACCAGGACGCCGGAAGCCGCCATGCCGGGCGAAAAGCCCAAACAATAATAAAGTGAAAATATAAGTCGCTGGCCACTTGTATTCACCACATCTTAGTTTTGGGGACGCCGGCAGCTCGTGCAGCTGTACACTGGTAGGTAGAACTTTCTTTTTGTATATACTTGTTGATGATGTTAATTCCTGGAATGTAGTTTATAATTATGCTAATTTTTCTAATTACTAATTATGTTAATTGCCCTACCTATTTATGGATGGGTATTGTGAGAAATCATTGTTGTTCCTGATGAAAGTCCCAGAGGAGGACTGAAACGTTGAGCTGTCAACAATCTTTTTTATTTTTCATTAAACTTTGGATGAGAGAGAGAGAGAGAGAGAGAGAGAGAGAGTTATTTTTATTTTTTTAATGCTTTTTTTTTTTATGGTGTAATCCATACAATTGTGTTTACATTTTGCTGATTGTGGTGTAGTAGGACAGAGCTCAAATTATCCACTAGTGATAAGCGAGAGGAGGATCAGGTCTAGAGAATGGAAAATCGTCCCCTAGGAGTATTTCATAGAACTCTACTGCTGGTGTCTTGGGCATTTGGAAGTTGATTTTAACCATAGTATTGGCCTGCTGCATGCTTTTGAGATAGATTTGCAGCTACAGATCTTCCACCATGAGAGTTTTCATTTGAGATTAACCCATTTGCTGCCGGAGGTATAACTCCACTTCCAGTAGTGTCATTAATTTTATTTACTTTTCGTTTGCTCTTAAGGAAGCATGTCAAACTTCTGGCCCTCAATGAATACCTTTGCAGCCCGGCGAGCCACGACTTTGCTTACCAAGGCAGAGTAGGCACCTGCTCTCCTTACATTGTAGGTGCCTACTCTGATAAAAATTTACCTGGCCGGGGAGGAGAGGTCCCTCGTTGCTCCCTCACGCACGCCCTCTGTAGTGATGCCGGGTGTCGGAATATGACGGCATTCCGGCATCACTAAACTGTGCAGGTGAGGAGCAGAAACACTGAGCTCTTCCCACTGTACCCTAGGGAGGGGCACCCACACCAGAACCCAAAAGTAGGGAGCAATAAAGAAAATGTTAGTGTGTGCAAGAATGTGGAAGTGTGTCTGTCAGTGTGTGTGCTAGTCAGGCTGGACAGTGGATGACCTGGAGGTACACGGAGGCATGTATAACGCTACGTCACATTTCAACGTGCGTGCTCCACCTTCACAGGTTTTCAAGGAGTAGTGGGAGGATCCGCTTTGGCACAGGGTGCAGACTAGGGATCAACCGATAATCGGTCTGGCTGATATTATTGGCCGATATTCAGAATTTTCAGCAATATCGGTATCTGCCTATAAAGATATTGACGATAATGCAGACAGGGCAGTGGGGGCGGGGCTTAGCGTGCAGTGGGGCTAAATGTGGCCCGAACTGGTAAGTGTGGGGTAAGCTAGAAGGAGCCCATGCTCCCCATCTACCGTAGTTCCCCTGCTCGCCTACCTACCCCAGTGCCCCTGCTCCGTGTCTACCCCAGTGCCCCTGCTCCGTGTCTACCCCAGTGCCAAAAATAAATAAATTAATAATAATAAACATGTTAAGTTAAAGAACCACTCTAGGCACCCAGACCACTTCAGCTTAGTGAAGTGGTCTGGGTGCCAGGTCCAGCTAGGGTTAACCCATTTTTTAATAAACATAGCAGTTTCAGAGAAACTGCTATGTTTATGAATGGGTTAAGCCTTCCCCCTAATCCTCTAGTAGCTGTCTCATTGACAGCCACTAGAGGCGCTTGCGTGCTTCTCACTGTGATTTTCACAGTGAGAGCACGCCAGCGTCCATAGGAAAGCATTGTAAATGCTTTCCTATGCGACCGGCTGAATGTGCGCGCAGCTCTTGCCGCGCCTGTGCATTCAGCCAGCGGGGAGGAACGGAGAAGGAGAGCTCTCCGCCCAGCGCTGGAAAAAGGTAAGTTTAAACCCCTTTCCCCTTTCCAGAGCCGGGCGGGAGGGGGACCCTGAGGGTGGGGGCACCCTCAGGGCACTATAGTGCCAGGAAAAAGAGTATGTTTTCCTGGCACTATAGTGGTCCTTTAACAGTAGATTTGTGTAGAAATAGTTTATTTTTTCAAAATCGTAAATGTACGGTAAGTTATTGGCTATCCGCCTGAAAGTTCACAGATTATCGGTATCTGCTCTTAAAAAAACAAACAAAAAAAAAACATATCGGTCGATCCCTAGTACGGACGGCGCCATTGGGGGTATACAAGAGGCTGGACTCCAGAGTCGCATACTGGCAGCGGCAATGTGAATGGAGTCTGTTTGTTGGCTAATATTGTTTTGGTTTTTTTTGTTTGTTTTTTATACATGGGCCAGTTTTGGTATAGAGAGGGGGCTGGGGTTTAGTAGATGGGGGGTGCTGTTTTATTTTTGGTTTGTTTTTGTTTGTTTTTTTTTATAATATACTGTACTTTTCAAAAGAAACCTACTTTCTATGAAAATGAAAGGTTTTGGGTTTTTTTGCAGCCCACGTAAACAACCTTGTTTGTGTGCCCTGTGCTAGCCTTTGAGTTTGACATGCTTGGAGTGGTTGAGTTACACATGGATATTTATATTGGCAAGTAACTTTTTCGGTAGTGTGAGCCTAGTGCAGACTGTTAAAATCTGTGTACATGCTCGCTGTCAGTGCTATGCATATCTGTTATTGTGTATTCATTAAATTTGCTTGCTCATTTTTATAGCCGTACAAGTAAAGCTTTCAGCAACAAACAGACTGTGAAACAGTGTGGATGCTCTGGAGTTTACCTGGACTGCCTGCGAACATTTCTGCCAGCTCTAAACTGCCCTGTTCAGAAAGAGCTCATTAGAGGTGGTGTACGGACTTTTCTTCACCGCATGATAATCTGCTTGGAGGAAGAAGTGCTTCCTTTCATCCCTACTGCTTCTGAGCACATGCTGAAAGACTGTGAGGCAAAGGATCTGCAAGAATTCATTCCTTTAATTAATCAGATTACTGCTAAATTCAAGGTGTGTTTTTGTTTTTTTTTCTACAACTTACCCATCCTATCAACCACACTTGGGCATTTTTATATGCAATTCAAATTTTTATTGGGCTTTTTTTTCATGGGAAAAGTGCAGAACAAAGAAAGTATTTTTAAAAAAAAATGGAGAAACATTGATCTAACATCACACTGATAAATGTCTTGAAGGCTTATGGCACAAAAATGCATTCTATATATTTCCATATCAGGTGAGTTTGCTCAGTGGAGTCTACCCTAATGTGCGGGGGATAAACCTGAGTCGTGCAAAGACCTTTTAGTGCACATAACCGGTGTGTTTTTTTTACCATATTTAAAAGGGCAGTCTAGACACTATAAATACTTAAATATGCAGTAGTAGTTATAGTCCCAGGAGTCCTGAGGTGGTGTCATACTGTTAAGAGTCACACCATTTTTTAATTGTTTGCTGGTGTCTGGGAGATCCAGGTAAGTGTCAGTCTGGCTCCTCTTTACTTTAATTGCTAAAGAAGAAGTTGCCCTTCCACGCTTGCAATATAAAATTGTCTGCATTTGGACATAAGTCGTTGGCTGTAAAGCGTTAGCTGAAGCTCTCAGCCAATGAATTCCATCCAGAAACAGATTTGATATTGTAGTGCATTAACGGGAACCTCCACTTTGACAATATCTGAGGGGCCAGAAAAGCATAATCACAAATAATGTATAGCCCTACATTTTAAGTTAAGACCTGTAATGATAAACCATCCAGAGAACTCCTTATAGAAAACCAAATAGCACAGCTTAATGATGGTGTGGCAAAAAAAGTTAATGCTCCTTTTTAAAAAAAAAAAAAAATTCTAAAACAGAGACCTGTTAGTCTGTTAAGGTGCTTAACCCCTTAAGGACCAAACTTCTGGAATGAAAGAGAATCATGACATGTCATGTGTCCTTAAGGGGTTAAATGCGAGATATCACACCAAGTACATTGCAGGCTACGAATAAGTAATAAAAAAAAAAAAAAAAATGCACTACACATATATTGCAGTGGGTTGTAGTTTCACTGAATCCGTTAGTCTTGAGGAGAGTCAGTGTTGATGCTCCCCTCTCCCAATCCCCTCCCCTCAAACAATACCTTCCTGGGAGAAAAGATTGGTCCTGTGATGTGTGTGTGTATGTAAGAAGAAAAAAAAATCACTCACAAGGTTTAAAATATCCACTAGCCATTGGTGAGTTAAAATGCAGAGTAGAAGTTTACCCCTGGTGAGTATGCTACAACATAGGAGTTTGAATTTACAAAAATTACATTTATATATATGTGTGTTAATTTAAAACTATAAGCAAGAGTTCAACCATCCAGTATTGGCATTGCCCCCATAGAACACAGTGCAAGAGGTCTTATGTCTCCATACCATCCTTCCTCAGTCATGCAAAATATAGGCTTGGTGTGCATAAAAAGTTTGAGTCCGCAAGCTTGTAAGGCAGACTCACTGGACCCAAGCTCCGATGTATGTAGTCAAATTCTAAAATGTTGTTTTGGAAACTTTCAAATGTGTTTATGGAAAAACAAAAAAAGTATTTATTGTGCTCACGTGTCTTAACTATTCCTTCCTTAGGCACAAGTGTCTCCATTTTTACAACAAGTTTTCATGCCTCTTCTCCATGCAATATTTGAGATTTTAGTCCGTCCAGCAGAAGAAAACGACCAGTCTGCTGCTTTAGACAAACAAATGTTACGAAGAAGTTACTTTGTTTTCCTTCAAACCGTTACTGGCAGTGGGATGAATGAGATCATTGCTAATCAGGGTCAGTAGTGCTTACAGTCTGAAATATGTGTCTGTGTTAAAGGGTCACGAGAATCACCATAACATATGCTAAATTAATTTATGGTGCCAGGGGGACTTTCTTGCCTTAAGGGGTTAAACGGTTTTCTGACACTTTAACCGCAAAGATTTCCTCCAATGCTGATCTCCAGGAATCCCAGGCGGCATCTGGCTTTTGAATCTGAGTTTCAGGGGGGCGTGGAGTGCCATCGGTCAGGGTCCCCATTTTTATGAATAAGGAGCTACTGATTGCCTAGATTGGTCAGCTGACGCTCTTAGCCAATCAGTGGCGTCCCTGCCTAGCAGCACTCCGCACTTCCTGTAACTCAGATTCAGAAGCTGGGTGCCACCTGGGGGATCTGGAGATTGGCGCTGGAGGCAACCTTTAATGTTAAACTATTCTAGAATAATGTAACCCCCTTAAGGTAAGAGTGTGTCCGGCGGCTTCCTGGCAGCATAACAACTGCATTTAGACGAGGTTATGGTTACCGGCGTCATTCTTTAAGGTTCTTCAAGGTTCACCTACCCCAAACATTCCAATATCTTTGTGTGTGTGTGTGTGTGTGTATGTGTATATATATATATATATATATTTGTTGCAAAAAAAATATCATTTTTGATTCTGTTAAATTTGCTAGTTATTTAGTTTTTATATTTTATTTTAGATGTACCGTGGTGTTGTTCCCCAATAAGGTGACAGACGATTTTGCAATAGCTCTCCACTACCTGTGTTCCTCGGGCGCTGAGCTTTACTGAATGATGTCTTGGCCACATCCAGTCTCTGTAGTGCTGCTAACGTAGGGTGGTAATACTGGCAGTGGGAGTTATAGTCTGTAATAATAAACATGTAACCATTTGGGATGGTTCAGTTGTTTACGCAGTGTACAGAGCTGGAGTTACCCCTTTGGCAGCAACATGAAATATGTGCAGTGTTTCATAACTGAAATGCTGCCTATACAGAGTCCATGCACCATGAAAATTTCAATACCATGAAATCGTAAAAACAAAATTAATATAAGAGAATAAGAAAGGCTGTCGGTTTGTTGGAAAAATAGCAAATACCTTTTTAAGTAGTCCCTCCTTTATCTTATGGTTTCTTTTGACTGAGTTGGAATTTTAGTGAAATTCAAACATAGTCTTTATAGGCGTTTCACTAAGATTTTAACTTTTGACATGCTAAAAAAAAAAAAACATTTTTGGGGGGAGAGTGTCACATGATAAAAGTTAATGCAGGTTATCTGATTTTCAATGTTTTGTGTTATTTTAACAGAGGTGTCAGTTCAAGATCATTTTAACTATTTTTCTGCCGTTTTCTGAATTACATGAAATGCAGTGCAATTTAAAACCCTTACAGGAAATAAAAGAATTCTAGACAAATGATGAGTTTACAAATTGATAAAAGAATGGTCAAATATATGCATGCCACAAAGCTAAATTCCGGTGGTTTTTGTTGGAAACAGGTGCTGAGAATGTGGAACGAGTCTTGTTCACCGTTATTCAAGGAGCCGTGGAATATCCAGATCCAATTGCACAAAAAACATGCTTTATTATCCTGTCAAAACTTGTAGAATTATGGGGTAAGTTCTTATTCACATGCCTAAAATCCTTTACTTAAAAGGGCACTCTAGACACTTCATGTCTGGAGTCTGTTGTATTAAGAGATCATCCTTTTTATAATTAAGGGCAGAATCACCTTTCTGTCTGTTACTGAGAGCTATCGGAAGTGCAGCTGCGCTGGGCTAGCACACGTCATCCTTCCACTTTTCTTAATAAACTGTACAACAGCTTATTGAAAAGCATAGGAAAGCTGCTATCCTGTGCGAGCATGCTCACAGCTCCAGCCCAGAGACTTATTAATGAGAATCATATGATGGGTCAATTTCCCAGCACTGACTAAAAATCTGTAGCATTTGCAAATACGGTTAGTTCTGCTATATTGTTAAAAACAAAAATCAACAGTGTGTCACTTGAAACACTACATTTAAAGGAACACTTTAGGACCAGGAACACAAACATGTATTCCTGACCCTATAGTGTTAAAAACACTATGTAAACCCTCCTAAATATAGTAAAAACTTAACTTTATTCCAGTTTGCTGGTGCTGGCTCTGCCCCTGATCTGACTCCTTGGATGACATCATCATAAATGATGATCTCAGCCAATCACCATGCTTTCCCATAGGAAAGCATCGGATTGGCTGAGATTGTCAATTCTGATGATCTCCGCCAAGGATTAATTCATCAAGAATCAATGCATCTCTTTGAGCAGTGTTCAGTGTCTTCATGCAGAGGGTGGAGGCACTGAATGGCAGAGCTGCACACTGTACAGCACTGCTTCTGGAAGCACCTCTAGTTATCCATCTGAGGAGTGGTCACTGGAGGTGTCCCTAGGCTGTAATGTAAACACTGCCTTTTCTGTGAAAAAACAGACCCTGCAGGCTTTTTGCAGTAAACACGGACTATACTCACCAGAACAACTACATTAAGCTGTAGTTGTTCTGGTGACTATAGTGTCCCTTTTAATTAGAAACCTATTTTGTGTGTATAATTTTATATGATCAAATAAACTTGTATGCAACATGCATGTTAAATACACAGCTGCTAGGCATTGTTTGGTCTTATATAGAAACGTGTATATATAAAGTAAAAGCCAGTTTCCTATGAATCCTGCAGATACGTTGGATTTAAATGTAAAAATTACCGGTGCTGTTTGGTCTCACTATATAAATTGGATGACATTCTGTGTGTGATCCTAAAACATTACCTTTTAGACCTAATGTGTGTGAGTGAGATTTCGAAATATTTGTTTTATGCTTTATGAAAGTCGCACAGTCATGTTTCCTTAAATAACGAACATCCCTTTTTGATCACAAGCATTTTTAATGTATATATTGGTCTTCATACATTTACATTTGTATGCATATATCATATAATCATTTTTGTTTGTTTGTTCCTGCTAGGTGGAAAAGATGGATTAGTGGGCTTTGCCGATTTTGTTTACAAGCACATTGTGCCTGCATGCTTCCTAGCACCTTTGAAACCAACCTTTGATCTTGCAGATGCTCAAACAGTATTGGTAAGTAAGACCCACCTAGACATGTCTATTCTCTGTGACTACAGTTGGGTTGTCTGTATATTAAGATAAAATATTTATTTTTGAATCCCTCCTTGCTGACAAAACTTGTTAAAGCACAAATGTTCATTCAGTGCGTATTTGCTTGGTTTTGAGCATCACCAAACATTAAAATGAACAAATGTTTTTACAATGTCACTGTTTTCATGTTGATGGGGTTTTGGCAATGATTGGTTACAACATGGGTCGTCAACCTGGTCCCTACCGCCCACTAGTGGGCGTTTCAGGATTCCAGGTGGGCGGTAGGGATTTCGGCGGCTAAATCCTCTTTTTAAGAGGATTTCTCCTTTTGGGCGGGTGCGAGCGGCTCTGCGGGCACAAGTTTTCAGTGACCGGCTGGAGGAAGTGCTCCCCCCTGCCAGGCTACCTTCTGGACCCCCAGGTGCGGCAGAGTTCTAATCCGAGGCGGCGAGGGAGCTCTAACCTCTCTGCACTGCTCCCTCGCGCGATATTTGCTGATGCCGCGGGAGCCGGAATATGACGTCCTATTCCGGTTCCCGGCATCAGCAGACAGCCTGCGAGGGAGCAGAGCATAGAGGTTAGAGCTCCCTCGCTGCGTCTGATTAGCAAACAGCCGCCCGCCGAAGTGAAGCCCCACTGGACCCCAGGGACAGATCCACACCAGCTCTCCAGGTAGGGAGGCTGGGTGGACATTTAATATTAATAATTTGTGTGTCTGTAAGTGTGTGTTTATCTGTGTGTCTGTTAGTGTATGTGTGTCTGTCTGTGTATGTTTGTGTGTATGTGTTTCTATGTGAGTGTGTGTGTCTGTTAGTGTATATGTGAGTGTGTGTGTCTGTAAGTGTATGTGTGAGTGTGTGTGTTTGTGAGCAGAGTACTTGTAGAATAGAAGTAAGAAGAAGCAGAGCATTTGTAAAAAGGAGAAAGAAGCTGCAGAGTACTTGTAGAATAGGAGAAAGGAGTAGAGTACTTGTAAAAAAGGAGAAAGAAGGAAAAGAAGAGAATTGTTGTTGACTAATAGTAAGTGGGCTACCTAGCTCAGCCTTCCTACTAGGCATTGCTATAAGGAAGGTTAAAAAATAGAAAAAAGGAAGGAAAAAAATGTGGGGAGGGGAATTGAGGAGGGGAGCTGACGCACAGATGAGAAATCATTTTATGAGCAAACAGAGAAATCGTCTGAATATCACCGAAAGAGGAGACCTTTGTTTGTTTTTTACGAAAATCGAACCAGATATCAAATATTTAGTCTCGCAGCATCAACCTCAAGGATCTCATTAATCACTAGTAAAGGTAATTTCAATTTACTTTATTGTTTTCTCATTAAACTTTATAAAGTTAAAAACATTATAAACATGCATAAAGTAGAAATAAAAAGATAAATGTACGTACATTTATTTTTTTTAAAACACCCTCCTTTCTAAAAAATATTCCGCGCTTGCGCGAAAACTGGTGGGCGGTAAGGAAATTTTTCCATCAAGAAAGATGCATTAGTGGGCGGTAAGTGGAAAAAGGTTGACTACCACTGGGCTACAACATAACATTTCGCGATGTAAACTGCATTTCTTTTCCTGATATTAGCGGTTGTATCTATATTTACTTTTTTTTTTTTTTCTACTCTGCAGGCTTTATCAGAATGTGCAGTAACAATTAAAACTGTTTATCTCAAAAGGGTAAGACTTGTGCTTGTTTCTTCTTTATGGTGGTTTTATAAAAATTGGAAATGTGTTCTCATAATTGGATGGCTTCTATATAGAAATCAGAAATTAAAACATCATTTTTAAATTTTTTTTTTTTTTTTAAATAAACCGTGAGGCAGCATTGTAGCATTTTTTCAGACTATAGCCATTTTGTTAACATTTCAATTTTTTTGATGATATTCAATAAATAAGTGTACTTCAAAAACAATGGTGACCGAACACTATTTTTGTGATTTAAAGGACCACTCTAGGCACCCAGACCACTTCAGCTTAATGAAGTGGTCTGGGTGCCAGGTCCCTCTAGGATTAACCCATTTTTTAATAAACATAGCAGTTTCAGAGAAACCGCTTTGTTTATGAATGGGTTAAGCCTTCCCCCAAAGCCTCTAGCGGCTGTCTCCTTGACAGCCGCTAGAGGCACTTGCGTGCTTCTCACTGTGATTTTCACAGTGAGAGCACACCAGCGTCCATAGGAAAGCATTGTGAATGCTTTCCTATGCGACCGGCTGAAAGCGCGCGCAGCTCTTGCCGCATGTGCGCATTCAGCCGACGGGGAGGAGAGTCGGAGGAGGAGAGCTCCCCACCCAGCGCTGGAAAAAGGTACGTTTTTACTCCTTACCCCCTTCCAGAGCCGGGCGGGAGGGGGTCCCTGAGGGTGGGGGCACCCTCAGGGCACTATAGTGCCAGGAAAAAGAGTATGTTTTCCTGGCACTATAGTGGTCCTTTAAACCATCTGTTTTCAACTGCATTTTGAACCTGTAGTAACTGTATAATGGTGGCTTTTATTATTTTCACTAGGAAATTTTACTCTCCTTTGTATCTGAGCAGACTAGTGGAGCCCAATATATTTTTATTATTTTCACTACTTGTGGGGGGCATTGATAGAATTTGTTAGCCAACATCCCTTGTGTTGCTTACTATGCAATTCAAAATGATGACAGACAAAGAATTCATCTCTGTGAAATCCTGGTACCCAAGAGTTAGATCACCCCTTTTGCGAGTTTCTTTTAATGCGCATTGGCTTTGAACCTTCCAGATGTTAATCTTCTTCCTCTCCCCACCACTCCAAGTTTGGTTGAGTAGGTCCATTCACTATATTAATGAGTTATATCAAATTTAAATTTTGGTTGTAATGAAGACCAACTCTGGCCCTTGTGAATAGATTATAATGCTACTGTTTCTCCAGTGCTCACATATTTTAATTTGTTGTAGTCCGTATATAAATTGTAAAATGTACTAGTTGCCCCTTTGCTATTTATTTCACCATTTCGGTTAACTGTTTTTTGCTTTATGTAGTTAATGACTTAAAGTATATCTCTTTTGCAGGGACCTGAATGCATTCAGTATCTACAACAAGAATACCTTCCCTCTCTGCATGTGGCACCAGAAATTATTCAGGTCAGTGACTGTCTATTTTGTTGCAGACAGGGTCCAAGACTAGCAATGGTTTTCTTCTTACATTACACCCTTAACTTGGATTGTGCCCAAAACATAAAGAAGCTGTAGTGGGTTTATTTTGTAAAGTAAACCAGGTTCAAATTACAAAAGTAGTATTAAAAAGAAAAAAAATACAATCTGCGGTATAACAAGTGTTAATCATAGTTGTATGTTGATATCCAGGTCCACATTATACATTAGTTAAAATTCATATTTTATTAATTCTTTACATTGCATAAAAATAAGAAAAACCACAAAAGAACGTCAGTCCATCCTCCTGACTATTTTGCCACCTGTATATATTTATCAATTATCAAAATGAGTTTTAAATTGTTTTAGTGAAGTTTAAGAGATTCTTGATTTATTTATTAATTTTATCGTGCCTGGCGATCGGAAATGTGTCATAGTTGTGAATATCGTCCACATGAAGAAGGTCTTAACTCATGTACATTTTGCAACCTTCATTCCCTTGTTTTGCAGGAGTTTTGTCAAGCACTTCAACAACCAGATGCTAAAGTGTTCAAGAACTACCTGAAGGTAAGCCTAGAATTAGATTTTATAAATTAGTAATAGAATAATCAAATGGATTTGTCTTTTCTTTCTGATTTGTATAATATATTGGTATCTTCATTTCTATAAGATTAACAACTTATTTTGTTTTCATTCACAGATTTTCTTTCAGAGGGCAAGGCCCTGAAAACTAACTGGAAATCCCTCGTACCTGATTCCATTGCTCAGGAACTCCAGTTATTTATGTAGATTATGAGTTTTGTACATGCCATTTAATATGTTGTTCTCTGACATACAACCGTAAATAATTCATGGTCTAATTTTTAAAAGCTGCTGACACATCATACCTGCTCTGTATTCCATAAATGGTGGTAAAACTTGCCCTGGACAAGGGGTCCATCTCCCACCCTTTATTCTGCCAATGAATTCAAGCGTGTGCCCTGCAAAAAAAAAAAAAAAAAGCAATGTAAAGTTATATTTGAGTTTTTTTTGTTTTTCTTTACATTAGGAATTTGAGGAAAAAAACTGTAAAATATATATATTGCCATTCAGGTATCCTTTTATGTAAATTTTTTCTTATTTTTTTTTTTTTTTTAAAAGGTTCTAATTTGGTTGAAAGCTTCAGTCTTCTAAATGGGATCTCCTGTGTAAGGTGGTTTAAAAAAAATCTAATGAATTGTATAGATAGTCAAGACATTTTTATTATAATTGTCTCTTATTTGGAAAACCTTCATCACTGGGTTGTACATCTTGAAGGCAGTGCATTGTTCATTGATGAAATAAACACTAGCAATATGCTTAGCCAGAACTAATTATCTTAAGTATTTGTTTGTGACAGCAATAAGTATCTTTAGAACAGTGATGGCTAATGCTGGCATTTGACATGTATCTAAACTACATTTCCCATAATGCTCAGCCAGCCGTCTCACTTTGTTTGCATTTTAGGAAATGTATTTCAGAAATGTCGGTTTACCACCATTGCTGACAATCACTGCTTTAGACTTAATTTTTAGTGGGATGAGATCATGTAGAAGTTGTGTGTGTATATAAAAATCTTAACTGCAGAGATGAAGAGGTTTCAATATAGAAGACATTACTTAACTAATGTCAGACTTTAAATATAGAAGCTGGTTATACAGTTTTTTTTTGTTTTTTTTTTAATAAAAGGATGACAATAAATTTTATGTAGACAAATCAGAAAAGTATCATGATTTGTTGTTTTCGTAGCCTCACTGTGCATGGCCATACATTACCAATTAGTGCTATCAGAAATGGGTTTGCGTGTGAATTTTTTTATTTTTTTTATATATATATATATATATATATATATATATATAGTATAGACATGAAAGGACACTAAAGAGGAAAAAATAGACGTTTGGACAAAACAACACGGTATATAAAGTGAACTGTCTTGTGGAAAAACACACCACTGAAACACAGTCAAGAATTGAATATTATTTTTCCATGAATGAGCATGCACGCATACAAAATACTGATGGCTTGCAATAAACTAATTTCTCTTGCAACTGGTAAAATTGTGTGTGCATAATACTGGGGTATGGAAACAGTCTTGGAATCATGTACACATGGGTCCTGTAGTGAAGAGGTTATCCAGTACACATGTGATTTGTTACCATGTAAAACATTCTCTCAAGCCATTCTTGTCTTTTTATTTAATCTTTTTAGACCCTTTGAGGTAACAAATCAGACAGATTTGGTGGCTAACACTTTCACTATGGGAATCGTGTATACACTATTCACAGACTATGTTTCCATAGGCATAAGCCAAAGGCGAATACACACCAATCAAGGGGGGACTCCGTACCGGTATATTGAAAGAGGGCAAAAAAGATTTAAAATTACAGCTTATTAATAGCTAGCTTAGAGATCTGTCTAGTGGGGTAATGCCACAGTTGTCCATAGCCTCAAGTACCAGTAGTATGTAATGGGAAAATACTTTATTGAATAAAAACGGAAAATCAAGATACAAAAAGGAACTGGGCTGGTAACAAGTGTAGAAGTGGTTATGGTAGTTACAGCCCCATTCCCCTCTCCTAGTTTAATGGCATCAAAAAGCAGTCAAATACTATTGGGGCTATAGTAGGTCCCAATGATGGCTGATAAATCCAAAATAAACAGTATAAATACAGGGAAGGTTCACTAAATAGTGCTCTGGTGGCTGAACATAACATTAGAAGCAAGAGATGGGTAAAGAGCAGGGCAGCAATGTATTGATCGGGGTGTATTCACCTTTGGCTTATATGTAACGTTATCTTGGGTCCAAGTCCACTTGGTGGAGCTGGTACCACCGTGGTGATCTCTATGTTCCTAACCCATTAATTGGGACTAGGTTACATAGCGTTATTTCTACTTACGATTTAATGTCGCCATAGGAACTCATACCAGAAAATTGTATTTGAAATTGGTGCCCATAGTATATTGTGCAGGCTGTTTCTGTGTCAGGCAGGCGCTGCAACCATCCGAGCTCCAACTATGGGGCATGCTGCATGTCTTCAGACCAGTGAGGGGATCTAAAGTGCTCCTCACTAGCTCTCTTGCAAGACTAGCTCTCTCACAATAAACCAGAAGAGTACATTTAAAGGGGTTGCAGATCTAAAGCCCTGGACCAACAAGGACAGACTTTGTAGCCTCATCGGACTACAAGGGCTCACTATTAACTAGCAGGGTACATTGCCTATCTTCTTGCATATAAGGTAAACAGGTAAGTGGTGATGTTGGACGTATAAACCCAGCCTTCAAACACACAATTGCCATTAACACTGCTCGCACGTCAAGACTAAAATCAGCCCCCCTTACACACTAAAAACAGCTCACAGAAACGGCTACACATACACCGATATGCATTCCAAACACATAGAGGATACGCATAAACACATATGCACATACAATAATATTCACTGCAGCACATTCTAAGGAACAAAGTCTGACATGCGCACATACACTTGTCCGTTTTTGTGTGTCTGTATATGTATCGGTTTGAGTGTATCATAATGTGTGCCTGCACTTGTGTGTGTCCAAAGAGGCAACATGGCTGCAATGTGCCCTATAGTGGAATTTATATGGCAGCAAGTAAACAGTCAGTTCTTGAACTTGATATGTTGGAAGCAGGAAACATGGGCAAGCAAAAAGATTTGAGTGACTTTGACAAGGGACAAATAGAGATGGCTAGACACCTAGGTCAGAGCATATTTAAAACAGCTAGTCTTGTGGGTGTTAGTGCGTACCAAAAGTAGTGCAAGGAACTAGAAACCGGTGAATCAACATCAGGATCATGGGCACCCAAGGCTCATTGATGCATGTGGTGCGCAAAGGCTAGCCCGTCTGGTATGATCACACAGAAAAGCTTACTGTAGCTCTAAAACTGCTGGAAACCCTAATACTAGCCATGATAGAAAGGTGTCCGAACACAAAGAGCATTGCTGCTGAGTGCCATGAAGTTCCCTGTCCACTGCCTTCAGTGGAGATCAGAACTGGACCATGAAGCAATGAAAGTAGGTTGCCTGGTCGGAAAAATCCAGTTTTTGCAGAATGCACTATGGAAAGAAGGCAGACCAGCAGAGGCAGTGTGGTGCTCTGGGCAACGTTATGCTGGGAAACCTTGGGTCCAGGCATTCATGTGGATTTTTTCTTTGGCACATAACTAGAGATTGTTGCAGACCATGTACAACCATTTCCTGGCAATGGTGTTACCTGATGGCAGGGGTCCTCCTTCAGCAGGATAATGCACCTTGCCACATAGCAGGAATTGTTTGAGGAACACAACAAAGAGTTTGTTACTGCCATTTATAAAGTGCCAACATATTCCACTGTGTTGTACAATTGGGAAAAAGACAATACAATATAAACAGACCAATACAAAGAGTAGAGGGTACTGCCTGGGGGGAAGGGTAGATTTAAATTCCTGGAATCACTGGTATCAGTTGATGCCTGTGGATCCCATCTGTCAACTGGGGCCATTTTTAGTGGCCCTACTTTGACAGACGTGCTGTATGCAGCTCTCAAATTGAGCCCTGCATATAGCTATTTAAATGACTGCTTACATTAGGAGTCCTAGGTATCCGTTGAGGACATATTTAGGGACCCCAGGCTGATCGATGAGCTGTACACAGCACTCAAATTGAGAATTGCATACAGTGTTTAAATCCATTGAGATTCTTTGATGTCGTCTGCTCAAAGGAGACCCCAACAAAGTCTCATTGCATGCCCACCTACCACCCCTCTACTGCTTATGGTCAGTGCTGGACATTGCCACCTGACCAAGCAGCATGCTGTAGTTTCTGCAGTAATGGGAAATATCCCTGTAATGCTGAAAACTACCAGTAGATGGTGGTCACAGAGCACTTTCTACTATTTTAATTAGGATATCCATCTACTCATACTAGCAGAGGGTAATGTTTAGGGTTGGGTAAGGTACATGTTAATGTTGACTACCAAAAATGTATTTACATCCTAAACATTTAACAACTATGATTTAAATGTGAATCTATTTGAGTTATTTTTGTTTCGTTGCAATGGATGTGGAAAAAAAAGAAAAAATTAGCAATGTTGCAAAATATGCCACTACCACCACCACCACCACTTAATCTTGTATTTGGTGTACATATATGATATTAAAAGAAAGCTCTTTCTGCCCTTTGAAGAAAAAAAATATATATATTATATATATATATATATATAAAATCTAGAAAATGAATCACATAAAAAAGGCTAATACAAATTATATAGTTATAATGTTGTATTTAAAGAAATTGCCCTTATATTGTCTAAAGGCAGACATCCCAACTCTCCTGGAAGTCACGGGAGTCTCACGCATTTTAATAACGGCTCGCTGACACATGCAAATTATATACAATATCCCGGAAATATATTTATTTATTTTTTGGAGAGTGAAAAAAAAAAAAAAAAAACATTTCCGGGCTTATTCTAATTAGTAGTAATTTAGTAGCAATAAACAGCCTAAGAGTATAGATGGCTCGAGGAGATAGGATGTGAAACTAATCTCACAGACTGCGGCAAGGCATGTGGACTATGCAAAGTATTCCCCTCAGAGACAAATTCCGTGTCCCTCTGTCCACCAGGATTGCACCTGTCACAGGATGCCCAATGATGTCCCAACTATTCCGGAAGTTCCAGGAGTCTCCCGCATTTTAATTGTGGCTCCCTGATGCCCACAAATTACATGCAATATCCCTGTTCAGCGATACCCGACGGGTGGCCCTAAATGATTTAGAGCCACTTAAAGGGTATCGCTGAACAGCGGCTCTTTAAGAGCATGACTGGGCCCCTGTAGTAGCTTCATACAGAGTGCTGCACAGGAGGGAAGGAGGCAGTGGTGGCGGCACCGCGGGCAGCATGAGGAGGAGAGGCAGGAGTAAGTTGCTGCCGACCCTCACGCTCACTCCCATCAGACTCAGCCAGCATAACCAGGACCCCAAGCAAGCCACCCTCCTGGACACAAAAGGTAAACTAACAGGAAGGTGGCTGCAAATATAAAAATTATAACATGTATGTGTCTATGTATGTCAGGTTGTTTGTGGGCATGTGTCAACGTGTTAATAGTTGCAATATGTTATTAAATAAATAGTTGTGTTATGTCGTAATAAAATGGCATGTCCTTGTTCATACATGTTTGGAGACCGGGGCAACTGAAGCTGGTGAAACCACGTCCCTGAAATGAGTTTTTGCATGTTTGGATGTCTATGTAAAGGTTAAAACTACCACTTACGATCAGCAATTCCTGTGAAACCCTCTGCAATGGTACCATGAATAATTTAACCAGGATGTGTTTCTTTAGATCCAAGTTCATATAAATCCGAGGAGAATTCTCTTTCCCACCATTCAATAAAAACCAAGTTACAAAATGGTTTTCATGATCTGAATGTCCTAAATTATCTCCCCCAGCCTCCTAAAGCAAATGTGTTTAGATTAATATAATAGTGCTCTGCAATGAGTGGAGCAGCTTAATACATATTAATTTAACAAGACAAACTTAACTTGCATGAACTAGGGCAGTGAGGGCCCTGCTCAAACAAATTCACCCAAAAAATTAAACCGATTTATACTTTAATGTATCTGCCAGCCATACAGGGGTTAACACATACGGTAAAGTACTGCCTTGCAATGAATTCATAACACTAGCCACCTTCACTCTTGACACACGGGGTTAATATACACTTTATCTAAAGGCTGAAACGTGCACGTTCTCTTTGCTGCCCCAACTCATAGAGGGTTAATAA